TTGATAAAGAAACTACCTGCCACATTTTTCATGTAGTTATATATATAAATTCAAGATTAATATATAACTTACAAGCCTTTTACCAGGTACATAACACTCAATGTTGTTTCTCTTAAGAACAAAAACCTCTATATGATTTACACGTGCCCAAGAATATTGACGTATAGTAATTACAATCTTACACTTACATATTCACATGTATTCTGTATCGGTTATCTTAAAACTTACAAAATAATATTTACCTATTTGCATGTAATTCTGCATGTGTTATCATAATTGATGCATAAATATATACATACATGTAATACTAATTGAAAATTGTAGTAATTATTATTGACTTTAGTACATAAACAATATTGACATTTGTGTCACGGTTCAGAACTATTCACTATTTAGAGGACAAAATGTGTAAATGGTCGGATAGCTCCGTGTTTAGTTCCCCGCGGTACTTTAGGGTCTCGGGTTCGAGTGCCAGTCAGGCTTCACATTTTTCTTAAACTGTGATACTTTGCGCTCAACGTTGCACCGTTACTGCATATAGCTCAGAGTTTATGTTCGCATATTGCTCTGTAAATCTGTGAATTTCAACAAAAGAGGGGAGTATGTCACTGTTCAGAGCTGTTCACTTTTTAGGAGAAAAGATTTGTAAGCGGCAGAATAGCTCAATCGGATCAGTATTTTGAGGGTCCCTTGTTCGAGTTTCGCTTAGACTGCATATTTTTCCCAGCCTATATCATACGACAAATCATTTACCGATAAATCTATAGAATAAATCACATATCTTGTGAACTATTAATTACACAAAGATTATATACAATACTTATATTACGTTATAGCTACGAGTTTTACAAATGAGTTGTTTTATATAATCACTTATGACTTTATGTAAATATTTTATGTTTATTGGAGGTGATTTATAGGCCCATTTGTTCGGGTATATTTAATATGTTGTTAAAATTATATTTGTAAAATATGTGTACACATGTCACTAAAATAAATAAATTGCTAACTTACTTATACACAGAATTAAAATTTAAAGATGCCTTCACATTATCTGTGGATTTCATAATTGAAATAAAATTTTATCATTATACGAATATTTGGAGTATCGGTTACAATTCGAAAGTCCAATTTGAAAAGTGATTTTACTATCAATATATAATTTTTAATGTTCTGAACTTGATCTTTTAAAACAACTGCGACACTTTTATTTTTAAACGGACAATTACTTATACAAAAACTGTTTCCAAGATACATAGTTTATTATTACCAGGGTACAAATGTTTAATTTACATAGTACGGCCATGTTCCCCTGTCATGAACAATGTTCGAGTTACCGAACTATGCAGAAACTCGGCGGAAGGAAGACGAGATAATTCGGGAGATGATCATTATATTGTCCAAGATAAAACTTAATTGTGTCTTGTTTAAATGACGAATCCGACAGATAAAAGGATAACAACAACACGACACTGCAAAAAAATTAGAAATAGTACAACAGCTATCATGTCTGTTTCATTTTATTATGTCATGTTAGAGTCTTTATAATATCTGGAACCAAATCACATAGCTACTCGGTTATGAGATCTCAATTTAATTCCCTTATTTCTTACATGAATTATATAAGAAATTAACAGTGAAAATTACCGTTAAGACATTGAACATCAATTGCGCTAACTTCTAAACTAACTAAAAATCGACACTCTCTATACCCTGCTGCGTTTATGATCAATATCCGGGTCAATATTCGGCTTAATCATATTGGCTTCGATCGCAATACAGCACGTGGCTGTTACACAATATTATGTCATCAATGGGACCACGCGAAAGTATCAAAATTGGGGAATTCGGAACTTCATAAGATTTCTATTCCAAACTTGTGTACAAAAATGCAAACCTGTATGTTTCCTGAAATAAATGATTAAATAATTTACTAAATAACTAAATTAATAAAAGAGATAGATTGGATGGATGGATGGATGGATGGATGGATGGATGGATAGATGGATAGATGGATAGATAGATAGATAGATAGATAGGTGGATGTCTTACACCTTCTTTGCACTGAAGATAATATAAGTATGCAATTGACGTGTTAATATCTCCAGAAAATTGTTATAAAAATTCCGTATATCATTAATATACCGACTTCGTATATCAAAATTCCCGTATATTACGATTGTACGGATCACCGTATATTAGTCGTATACGGACTAACATAATATACGGTCCCGTACATCTCCGTATTTCAAGTTTCCCGTATTCTTACCCGTATATTAATAATATACGGAATTCCGTACACTTCCGTATATCCATATATTTTTTCGCAGTGAAGGTTCCATGAAGGTTCCATATAAACCCATCTGTGGATGTTTCAAAATTCAAAATTGTACCAGTTTATGTTAAATGTTGAATTCTGCTTAAGCAGGTGCTTGGGGGCGTGGACGGTAGTTTGCACATTACAGTACCGTCCATGAATAGGCTCAATCAAACCGAGCCTGCAACATTTTCAATTATGTTGTGTTGGACTTTCTTTGGGGATTTTTATTTTCTCTTTTTCGTCTTTGTATTTTAAATATCCTGATTATTATGGAAACAACAATCATCCATTGAGAGGCCATGTTTTTTTAAAATAACAAATGTCACTGTACTTAAATCGTTCTGGTCCTTCAGGATAATTATTTCAAGGACTTTTAAGTGTTAAACATAGAGTGTCACTTAAGTAGGTGCTAGGGTCTGTGAAGAATGTTGCATTGTTTTTTATTATCCCTCGTGCACAGATCAATTCGAGTCTGAAATTTTCATGTTATTTTGCTCATTGTAATGTTTTTAAGAGATCACTATATTTATTATATTTATACCTAACAACAGCAGGTGTCAAATTCAGTGTGGCACCTCGTAATTATCTTCAGTGTTGTTATATTTTTTGGTCCTTTTTTATCAATGATTCCAGCATTTTAAGTGTTGTTAATAAAATTGAGTACCTCTAAAGCCAGTGCTAGGTGGCGTGAGAAATGTTGCACTTTTTTATCCCTCAATCAAACTGAGTCTGCAATTGTCATGCTATTAAACTAGCAGTTAATTAGCTATGATCAGTTTAAATGAATGGGATTCTAGGGATCTCTATACCACCCGTCTAGCCTAATGATCTGTTGATTTAACAGAGTATGGGAATGATGTTTATTCTTGTGAGAGAAAAATATTAATATAATGCATCTGCAAGCTAAAAAAAGGCATTTGCCAGAAAGCTGTTTAACTGAGAGGTTTAATCGTAGAGTGAGTGAATAAGAAGTGGTCAAATTTTTGACGCAATTTAAGAGTCATATCGATGACAATTAAACTGTAGTCACATTGTTGACAAATTCAAAATCACATCGTTGACATATTATATGAAGTTGTCACATTGATGAAAAGTATTGTCACAAAGTTAACCATTTCGTAAATGCTTAGAAGTGCTTTCAGTACTTGATTTTTATATGAATCTATATATATAAACTTAAAACATTTGGGGATATTTTAATGGTTTTGTAAATTTCCAGACGGTTCAGATTCATTTTCAAATTCAAAAATCTGGAAAGAAAGATGATCCCTCAGAAGCATTATAATCACAATAAAATGATATGAAAATTGCAGACTCTGTTTGATTGAGTCTGTACACGAGGGACGATGAATTAGTGCAACATCCCTCACGCCCCTATCACAGGCCTGAGCGGAAATCAATTTTCAACAATTAAAAGTGACCAGAAAAATAAAACAACACTTAAGTGCTGTTATTATGCACTCTTTTATCTCACAAGAGTAAACATCATTCCCACACCCAGTAAATTATATATTACTCTCAGATTAGCTTCAGGTTCAGGTTTATATATTTGGGAAGATTTATGGAAACGAAAAAAAAAATTTAATATGAAGATTCCTTTAAAGGAAGTTGATAATTTTACCAAAAGATTTTCTTGAAATCAAAGTTATATTTTATCGGAAGGAATTTTATAAATAGGAACATGTTTCATATTTTAAAGAGAGGATTTACCCAGAGGAAATCGTTTAACTTCAAAACAGGAAAGACGGGTAACAGAAACAGTTAAGACTAAGACTAACATTACAAAAAAAAAACATGTACAACGGCTTCAGATATTTTTCATTCACGGGTTACACAAAAATTGCTTTTATTAAAATTTCGTATAATCATCATTATCATTTCTTAGGTTAAATATTTTTAAAAATTATTATATTTATGTCTTACCTTTAACCTTTAAGTATTTAGTATTATTTAGTATACTGAAAATATAGGTCTTGTAAACCATACAACAGTATATGTGTTTTATACATACCCCCTCCTCAAAAAAGCGAACATCGTTACACTGATAATCCATGGAATCAATAAATCATTGTTTTAAAAGACATGTTTATGTTGGAGTAAAGTTATATTTCTATGTTGGATATGGAAATGTAAATAATGTTTTCTTTTTCAATACATTTATTTACGTCATTGGTTGAATGTTAATTCTGAAGAAGGGCTAAGGACGTCGAGATAGTCATCATTTTTGGAGCTAAGCAGTCATGCATTCAGTGGCTGTAATTCAAACTTATTACGTTGAACTACAAATAGATCACCATCAGCAATATTTTCATTAAGTTCATCTAAAGTATGTATTTAAATGCAAATCATCTCACGAGGAACACTGCAATATATAATTATGTTGAACTATCAATATTTTACATGTGGTGTAGTGGTTAGCATACTGGACCGGCAATCCAGAGACCCGTGGTTCGAGTCCCGGCTGCGGCGTGCCGATTTTTCGTGCGATTTTTCTATGTATAATTTCACGCTCATGACTTTCTTTCTTTCATATATATATATATATATATATATATATATATATATATATATATATATATATATATATATATATATAATATATATATATATTATATATATATATATATATATACGACAATTCATGTCACACCTGTATAACAGGTAGTAAACATCTTATGTTGGACAAACTCGATAATATAAGAACAAGAAATAAAGAAATTAATTTTAGAACACAATTGAATGGGTTCTACAGGCGGGTCAATTGCGGAAAAAAAATCGTCAATTTGTTCTTATATATATATAAATTATTAATAATCAAATCTGTATAGAGAGAAAGAGTGTACCAAATTGATTGAACGAGTGGAATGAATTATATAATGTGAACCTTTGACAAACATAATACTGTTTTATTCAATGGGTTCAATTAACTTATTATTGAGTCTTCACGATATTTTTCTTATCACATATTCAAAATAAGTATGTTATACAATTAAAAAGATTTATTTTTTATAGATGCGCTTATAGTATAACGCTTACATTATTGCATGGGACATTACGCTCATGTAACGCAAATGACGTCACGTTAAAAAGTGATTACACTAGTGTAATATCGTTTTTATTAGAAAGCTTTATTACATCCCGCCCGCAGTTTATGTGATATAAATACGTACTTGCTATAAGACTGAGAATTATTAATGTTTATGTCATAAAATTTTAATGCTTAAATCGGCAATAAAAAACCTTTTATTTTGTTATCTGAATTATTTAGCGTGCCATCTTTATACATAATACCATTTCATTAATAGTTCATTTAAAATTACATTCTATTTTATTGCCATTTTTGCAAGTCTTTGAAGTGACTTTCAAACAGTACAAGCATGTCGTTTAATTATACTCAAACGTAAACATAATGCCTCTTTTCGAATTTTGCTTTGTTACTTCTTTGAGTAAACATCTCTGCAGCGTTTGAATTACGTTTTCCTTGTAACTATTGTAATGTATAAAGGCTTTATTTCAAATGTGTTTAGTATCTTTTTCCCTGAATAGCTTAGTAAGTAGAGCGCAGAACTGATAATCTCGAGGGCGTGTGTTCGATACCTAATCTTGTCAATATCATTTTTAATAATTAAATAATTGGTCATGTTCACATATTCATTCATCCTCTTTCAAGATAGTTCTTTTTATGTTCATTCTGGAATATTTTTCTCTAAGTAGTTTAGTATTCTAGATTGTTCATAAATAGTATATATATGATGACTGTTTGTACTTCAAGGTGTGCGTGCTAATTTGGACTGTTGTGTGATGTTGATATACTGATTGTGTGCTATTGTACTGCTAACATAGTAATATATTAGTTTGGATTCTGTAATTCTGTGTGGGAAGTGTTTTGGACATATTGTAATATTCTGCTGTGGACATTGGACATTGATTAAATTTGAGTTGTGGACAATTGAATTTCGTAATGTGAGTTAAACTTTAGAACATTGTATAAATTTGAATGGATAATTGTGAGTCAAACTATACTTTCATATTTTCCGGTAGTATTGTAAATATCTGTTTTTGTTTAATTAAAAATTGTATAATTTGCTGCTGCGTTATCTTTTCTGATGTCTTTTGCTCATAACACAATATTTTAACATTTATTTATGACTGAGAAAATAAATTAATTCGTAATCTTTTTAAAGTGCGCATTGTATCATAGTCTTCTTTGAATACATCTAGGTGTCTGTCATATTATTTTTATGTCATAACGCTCATTTACGTAACAAAACAAAGCAAAACAAAGGAACAGTTGTAAATCGTTAGAAATAACGTAGACCGTACTAAATAAGGAAACATTGAGCTAAAATTAGTCTTCCATTTTCTTTTTAAAGTAATTTTGTGTATCATTTGTTTGGTAATATAAACGCTAACAGATACTAAACTACTTGGTTTTTTTTAAACAGCAGAATTCCAGTTCATGATTTATACTCACCTGATGAAAAATACATTAGGATATATTTCCGTTTTAAGCCAACAATCAGCCGATTAATAATTCAAGCACCTAGCGATAACAACATATCCCTCCTGGATTCAAATAGACAAGATGATGTTTTGTTTTTACAACCTGGACAGCATGAAAGCCGCGGTTTATAAGACTGTTGGGATGATACACAATCTATTATTAGTGTTAATTCCAACAAGAGCTTACACTTGGATGATGATATGCATATACCTGACCTGTTTACTAAGTGCAGTTAACATACTGCCACTCTTTTGGTGAAACTGTTTTGGGAAGATGTTGTGACCACAACACATTCTATAGAAGTAGAGGCATTGTTTTGGACAGTACTCAAATTAAAGTATTACTGGATTCATGGGGATGTTCTGATCCTTCTAAACCAACAGTTTACAAGAAAAGATATCGTTCAACTTTTCCTGTGAGTAGCCAATCTGAAGAAACTTTGTCAGTTCCATCACTAGATAATATGATTGAGACATTACTAGTGAAGAAATATGGTAGTAAGTGTTTTAAATCTCAGTCTTTAAGTTCTTAACCCTTAAGATCTTTAGAAAAGATGGCATATCAAGGTCAACATGCAGCTCGGATGGGGCTCATCATCAACAATTACATGAACAAGCACTGAGTATTTTTTATTTGTTTTACAAAGTGACAAGCTTTATGTTGACAGTGATATTCAGTGTGTAAGGGACATTTTTGCAATGTCTACAAAATCACTTGATCAAATGGCACGTACAGGTGTTTTCCATCATCTCATTCAGCGAAGAACAGCTATGGCCGACACTGGTTTACAAGATTAAGGGATGAGAAAGATCATATTTTTTAGATTACCTTTTTCTCATGAAGGCGTTTTTGGTACTAGCCTTGACATTTTTGCTGCGTTTGGGTAATTTAGCTCGTTCTATTCTGCTATTTTCTTGCTGTGTGGTTGCAGTATTCCTCACTTAAATAATATTGAATCACTCTTTGGATATGTGGCCTGCTTTTTAAATTTGAAAAGGAAAGGAAATAATTGAATAATCAACCCTCAGATTTGTTGCCAGAAACAAATCGGAAGAGGAAACTTCCACCTTCTTCAGCAACTACTGGTGCTTACTGGAAGAAGCCACGTTTTGAAAATTCTGATCAGGTATCAGAAGAAAGTCAAGGTATCAGAAGAACAGATCGTTCAATTAGCAGTACTCCTTCACCATACCAAAAGTACAAGACCGTCGCAGTCATGCCAAACCTAGTGTGGCGTGTTATTTTCGTAACAAAAGCAAATCAACATGACCTTTATTGTCTACACCCAGAGATACCTGTTGGGGTTGTCTGAGGTTCTTGCAAATCAATGGAATCAAATCACAAACGATCAGTGGGTACTAGATACAATGTGTCAAGGTTACAAACTTGAATCCCTAGAAAAACCAAAATTCAACGGTATTCGCAAAACAATTATGCCAAAAGAAAATTAATTATAACACTGCGGAAGGTAGAAGAATTATTACAGAAAAAATGTATAGAGGAAGTTCCTCAAAAAGAAATGAATCAAGGTTTCTACAGAACACTGTTTCTAGTACCCAAGAAAACTGGAGATTTAAGACTAGTAATCAATCTCAAACCCATCAACAAGTATCTCAGAAAACAACATTTCGAAATGGATTCCATGAAAACAGCTCTGAATTTAATTCGAAAAGGAGACTTTGCAATCTCGATAGATCTGAAAGATACGTATATGCATATTCCCATATTTCATTTCAAAATCACAAAATATATTCAAGATTTGCAATGGGCAGCAAAGTGTATCAATGGATCAATTTTTGCTTTTACCAAAGTAGTAGCTGTTGTAGCAGCATTTTTACGACAGCAAAATCTCCGTCTAGCAGTTTATCTAGACGATTGGTTGGGACTAAATTCTTTACACGAAAATCTTCTTCACGATCTATCGCGAATGATAAGTGTCATCATTCATTTAGGTTTCTTAAAGAGCATGACATTATTGTTGCGCTTGGGTAATTTAGTTCTTTCTATTCGGCTATTTTCTTGTTTGGTGGTTCCAGTATTCTTCACTTAAATACGGTTGAATCACCCTCAGGATATGTTGCCTGCTTTTTTTAATTTGTCTTTTTACGTCTTACCGGTGATATGCAGGCTTTATAACCTCTGAACCCATGTCAAAATTCATTTTTAGTTAGTTCCGCCCATTGTTTTCTCGTTAAGGGCACATGCATTTTTACTTGGGGACCACATGCCGCTTTTCATGCTTGTTACTTACGTGTTCAATAATAACCGCCATATGAACACATATGCGGATGTTTTAAAATTCAAAAATGTACCAGTTCATGTTAAATGTTGAAGTCTGCTTAAGCCCATGCTAGGGGGCGTGTAGATGACTGTAGTTTGCTCTTGACAGTTCCGTCTATGAACAGGCTTAATGAAACTGAGCCTGCGACATTTTCATTTTTTGCCGTGTTGAGCTTTCTTTAGGGATTCTTATTTTCCCTGTAAAAAGTCACTTCTTTAACCAACACAATGTATAACTTACATAGAGTTTGCATGTTTTATCTCATGCAAGACGTAGTGTCTCCAACTCTAGACAGACAAAAAAAGATTTCTCAAGGAATTCAAACAATATTAGAGAAAACTTTCTCTACGTGTGGCAAGAGAGTATTTACACATTCTAGGTCTAATGGCGTTATGTGTCGAAACTGTAATGCTCGTTTATACATAAGACCAATCCAGTTGTATATTCTCTCCTTTTGGAAACCGAGTTCAATAGACCTAGAACTAATTTCTTTGACAAAACACCCTCAAAATCATCTCACATGGTGGTTACAGCCAGTAAATGTTTTACAGGACAAATCTTTTCTACCATGGTCAGCGAATGTCAAGCCCCAAAACGATGCTTCGATGAGTAGGTGGGAGCGTGTCTTGGTATTCAAATGATTAAAGGTTTTGGTCAAATAGCCAGAAAATCTTAATATCATTGTCTGCTAAAAAAGGCTTTTCTAAGAAAGTTAGAAAACTGCTCTCAGCCAGTTAGAGATCTGGAATACAAAAACATTTTGCTTCGAAATTTAACAGATTCAGTCGCTGGTGTAGTAGAAAACAAATTGATTCTTTTAAGCATCTCTAACTGACTGTGCAGAATTTCTAGCCTCCTTATATTATGATGGTTTTCAATATAAAACTAAAGCGAGATAGATCTATGCTATTGTCAGTTTTACAAGCTATAGGTTAATTTCCAATTTGACAACATCCTTACTTATTAGACTTTTAAAAGGAGTGTTCAACTTAAGATCACCTTTACTTAAACTCTTGCCAGATTTCCAATTGGACAACATCCTTACATTATTAGACTTTTAAAAGGAGTGTTCAACTTAAGATCACCTTTAATTAAACTTTTGCCAGGATAGGATTTACCAAAAGTTTTAAATTCTATTCAAAAATATCCTTTTGAACCGTTAATGAAAATATCACCGAAATATGTTATTTATAAGGCTGTTTTTCTAACAGCAATTACGACATTTCGAAGGGTCAGCTTCTAACAGCCATTAAATGCTGGAAAAGGATCCGTTTCAGTCCTGTCTGATGGAACAACTTTTATTCGTCAAGGATTGTCTAAACAAGACAGACCAAATCATTGTTCTACTAACATCTTCATTCCTTAATTCAAGGAAATTTATTTGTTGGATCCCAAAGGAGTTTTGCTACTTATCTTAAGAAAAAAAAGAACCTCTTAAACAAGTCTTTTTCTAACTGTTAATGAACCGCATTCGTCAGCTTCAGCTCAAAAAATTTGGTTCATATTTATAAATACTATTCGTGATGACTAAAGCACATTCAACAAGAGCTGTAGGTCCATCTTTGGCGCTTTACAAGGGTGCTTCTATACAATATGTCTAAGATGCTGCAAACTGGTCTAAAGAAACTACCTTCATAAAATGTTATAGGAGAGAACTAATGTACTCCAGGAATCATTTGTACATGTTATTTTATCAAGAAAAGTTAAATTCCGACGGATTGCAGACAGTTGTTTTTCTTTATGATATTGTGTTTCTCACAGGAAGTGGGAATATATATGTAATTCTACATACAGTTTTAAGTACAGAGATATGAAATGATGTAAGGAAATCAATTTTTTATTCTCTTAAGAACATAAGTGGAAAATAGTAAATGATGGATAAGATGAATAGAAGTTGAAAATACCAGCCTCTTCCATGAATGTGAGTAGATTGCTTTGAAATTTATATCCTAATGCATTTTCCATCAGGTGTGTAATAAATCATAAAATGAAATTATAAAATTTGTAATCAAATTACAGTTTTATGAATGGATTTATACTCACCTGATGTAGATTCCTCCCACCACCCCTTTGGTATTTTCTAAGCAAACAATTAGTGTTTACGTTTTACTTATGAAATAAATTGAAGTATTTGGGTTAACAATGTGCGTCTAAGACACATCCATAAATTTGTTATTGCTAGACGCTTGAATTTTTAATTAGCGGATTGTTGAGTTAAAACGGAAATATATCCTAATGTATTTCCCATCAGGTGAGTATAAATTCATTCATAACATTGTAATTTGATTACAAATTTTATAATTTGATCATTTATATAGATAACTTAACTTCTGTCTGTCAAACGGTATGCTGAAGCGCATGACATTAAAACTTTTTGCACTTTCATATTTGTTTGTGTATATTGTATCATCTTGAAATGTGGTAACTATGTTGGTTGAATAACGTTCTTGTTATGTAATATTTTGTGAATTTCTTTGAGTATGTCTGACTTGACTTAGAAGACAGCTGCCATGTGGCAGCTGTACAAAGTTGCCATGTACTTCATTCCAGTGCTGTTATATTTTGTGGTTCTTTTCTGATCATTGATGCCAGCACTATTAAGTGTTGAGAATTGAGTACCGCTCAAGTCGGTGCTAGGGGCGTGAGGGATGTTACACTTATACATTATCCCTCATGTACAGACTCAATTAAACCGAGTCTGCAATTTTCATGTATTTTTGTTGTAATTAATGCTTCCGAGGGACCATTTTGTTTTCAGATTTCTACTTCTAATGAGACGCGATAGAAGATATTTTAAATATCTTTTTAACAAATAGATTTTTAACACATAAGATCTGAATCATTTAATTTTAAAAGAATGGAGGTAGTTTTATTTTAGGACTGCACTATTTAACAAATGTCTTTAATTTTTAGAATGCTTAAAATGACAGATTACAAATATAATGTACCAAAGATGTATCTTTCGTAAAGAATCTCATTCCAGGCACATGTTAAATTTATTATATTATAAAAAAGTGATCCTTATTAAAGCGTAAAGTAATTTCAAGTTTTCAGATTATACATGACAGGAATATTCTGGACAAATTTCTTAAGAGTAGTGAAAATAAAATGTGAGAACAAATATTAAGGAGGCCGACATAGATTTCCACATCGATGGGACACTGGGCAGAAAAGCGAATCAATAATGTGTAGAGAGGATTTAAGTGATTATCACGTTATATCATAATTAACAATTAAATGAGGAAAAGTAAACAAAATATCAAATAGAACAAGGAAAATGATTGATGCAGGAGGTAATGGAAAACGTTAATCGTGTAAAGAAAATAATCCGGAAATAGATGCAAAATGGAAAATAATGTTTAAATGGAATGGAAAAAAAACATCAGTAAACAAAGTCAGCATCACAAAACCTGTTAACATGCATAACATATAACAGTACAAAATGACCATATGTGAAGACAAACAATAAAGTACTTAACTGTTTGAAACTTCCTCAACTCACTCTTAGATCAAGTACATATATATTCTTATATGAAAATTGTGTGAATATTGCAGTAGTTAAGAGTAATGCTATTTTGTGTATTAATACCATCAATTATAGTGAAGTGCTAGTGCATTTAAATGCTTGAATTTCAGAATAATATTTTATCTTAAAAATTGAAAATGTTTCATCTGCTCTATCTTTGAGATTATCAAATTACATTGTGAAAAATAATTCTGTATTGCTTAACTTTTATATTGCCAATCAAGTGATATAAATTTAGTTTACAAAGAAAATTGAAGCCAAAACTTACATTTATTATATTCAGAGACTATCATTATGAGCCGCAAAAGATCTATCTACATGATAAAATATTTTTTCTATGCAGTTCGTTTTTGAGCAATGTCTACATTATTTCTGATGTTTGATGACTATTATTACATTTTAATGTTAATGGATTTTTTAATATATCATGAAGGGAAGGCATAAATTTATATACCGAGTGTTGTTCAAAAGTTAAAAGTTCTATTATTCTACTACGCTCATCGATAAAGTAAGTTTCATGATTCCACAAAAAGATAATAATCAAAATGAATATGTATGTCCGTTGTAAAATTGATAATTCAAAACAATAGGTAAACGAGTAACAATTCAGTGAATATATCAATGTACAAGGGAAACTCAAGATCACAAACACAATCTGTTATATTGTTAACCTGTGTCGGGTCGCTTACATCTTGTTATGTATTATATTCACATAATTCTTATTGTACATCTATTTTATTGATTTTTCAGTGCATACAGAATGCAGATTCCGATAAATGTTATTTGTTTAATTGTGTTCGCAAATTTAAAGATGTGAATAGTTGAGCCGCATTCATAATACTTTTTGAAACATTCTACATCGTATATAAAATGTCTGGCATATTAGTTTTAAACAAAGAAGGCCACGAAATATTGTATAAGTTTGTAATTGATGTGTACGACAATGTTCATTTTGAATTCAAATCGTACGACAATGGATTTTATTTAAAGATCACAAATAAATTTATTTTCCAGATCATAAAGCTATATCTACAAGAAAAACATATATTTTTTATTGAATACTATTCAAATTGTACAAAAAAATGCGTTGATAAGAAAACGCAGTAGAGATATGTATTCGAATAAAAACAAATAAAATTGTAATAAGATTAATTATGTGTTTATTGGTGAATTATAAAAAGCATGTTTGGATTGTTTGAACGACACTTATAATATTTAGACTTGCAGGACGTAGACTTAGTTATTATATATATATATATATATTACATGGCGAGCAAGGATTTTACATAAGTATAATACAACAAGATACGATTGCCGACTAAACTGACAGATAATATTTATAATCTTCAGTGTCATATAAAGTACGCATTTGTGCATTATTAGTTACAATTCAGATACGATATCTACCATTTAAAAAAGCTACAAAAAACATGTTTCACTGCATTTTTCCTTAACGGGATATATCCGCATATTCATTTAAATATTGATAATTCGAAACCTATGTACAGATCAATGTGTCTCCTTGTGTACAGTTTAACTAGTGTATGGGTTATTTTATGACGGACAAACGAACCGAGTCCCTAAACAAATTAAAAAGGAAATAATAATTTTGTTTTAAACCTAACAGGAAAGAAAGAATATTTATTGTGATATAATATTTATAATTAGATAGGGGGCAAATATGTGTAGGACATAATTTGGATTTTCGAGGTTTTGAACTAAGGAAGTGGTTTAGTTTAAATTTGTTTTGTTTGCTCCAAATATAAAGAAGGGAGGAATAACTATCAATATGATGATCTCTAGAAATGTTCCCTTGTTGATAGATGTAATCATTTTATCCAAGAAGGAAAGTTTTAAGTTCTTTATCCATTTTAATCAAGCTTTATGATTCAATGAAACGAAAGTTGGAAACACATGACAATATTACCTTTTTGTTTTCTATGTCAAGTTAAACACTTTCTGACGGTTTGAAATATTTGTTTGATAAGACGATCATATTTTGAATAATATTGTTCAGTGTTGATACACTAAGAGGTTGGTTTACACATTTTACGCTGCATACAAGTCACTCACTCACTTTTACCGATTAATATCAAGGAAAACAAATAAATTATAAATACCATGGTGTTACATTGCTGACAAAGGTTCCTTTGTTCGTGTTTGGAGGCAAACTAAAATATTACTGCCCATATCAAATAGTAAAATACCTAACTATAAAGTTTTTACAATTACTAACTACTGTTTATGTAAATCAGATAAATAAAACGTTGTGTTTTTTCTGAATTATAAGACATATGATTTATAAAATAGTAATGAAAGGCAAGCATCTAACTTAAAACAAGTTTGCATCCATATTATTACAACACTAAATAGTTGGAACAGAAGTAGGTCTGTTTATTTCTATACAAGGGGCGTCCGTGGCCGAGTGGTAAAGGTTGTTTGACTTCAAACCACTTGCCCTCACCTCTGTGGGTTCGAATCCCGACAGGGTATTTGGATTCTTTCATGTGATGAAGTTATCCAGCTTGCTAACGAAACGTCAGTGGTTCTACTCAGTACTCAGGTGCCCTGCAATAATGCACGTAAAGGCACCTGAGGTCTTCTACACCATTAAAGCTGGAACTTCGCCATATGATCTACACTTTGTCGTTGTGAAGTAAAACCCAAACAAACATGTTTCTATACAGATGAACTGTGCCTTAATGATGTTATGTTTAGTAAATGTTTGGGTCAATGTCAGATGTGTACATATGCCATAGTATGATTGATTTAAGATAAAAGTATTCTTACTTGTCAAAAATATAGATATCTACTTAGATTAATAAAACCTTTTAAAATTCAGTTACAATTATTTTTCATGAATACTTTCTTTTTATGCATTTCCTATTTCTGAAAACACAAAACATTACATTTAGTTAAGATTTTAAACCATAATTTGAAACAATGTGAAAAATATTAACTAATCTATGCATATCTTCCTTTACAAAAGAAAAATCATTGCGTGAATATTTATTTCCTTATAATCTGCTCAAATCATTTCATAGACATCTCTGAAAAGCATAAATCTTGCTAGAGGTGATGACCTTTGGACAAACTCCAAGCAATTAAATATTTTATTTAAAAAAATAAACATTACATGTACATATAATATGAGGTGTTAGCCTTTCACCATTTAACTCATGAGATGGACTATCCTAAAGCAAGAGAAATGATTAAGAAAAAGCCATGACTTAATAATTTTGCATTTTTGAAAAGTTTGAAATTTACATGGTTTGGAAGACTTCCCACTGGAACTGGTAAAAATGTTTCACATTTGAATGTAACATTTTTAATTATGACAAAGTTTTTAACTTTGGAAAATGTTATGTAAAAATTGAGTCTAAATCAATGTACGATTACTTTTGGAAAGATGTTTTGTTAGCATTTATTAACTTTATAGATATTTTGAAAATAACAAATATAGACCAGTTTGTTAACTGCCCTTTGATTTACAACAATAATATTTTGATGGATAGGAAACCTTTTTATGTTAAATCATGTATAAAAATAAAGTTTTTTATTGAAGATATTATGCAAAAAATAAAATATTGTGAGTAAATGAAATTTTGAAAAAAAAAATTGGTTCACATATAAATCGTTTAGTTTATGAAAGTTTAAAAATTGCTATTAGAAAGAACATAAAGTCTCTAAAAATAGAATAATTCTTATACCAATGTATTATTGCCCCTTTTATATAAACACAAACTTTTATGTAGAAGTGGAACCTCTACCATATATAATGTATTTATTGGTAATTGTCAAAAACCTGTATGTATAACATAATAGAGAGCTCATATACTAATGATAGTGACCTCCAATGGCTTCAAAGTAGAATCATCCATAGAAATCTAGGAACAAACTTTTTAATGTTTAAAATGAAACTGACACAATCTGATAAATGTACGTTTTGCAAAGAAGAAAAAGAGACATTATCTCATTTATTCTGGAATTGTTCTGTTTTAAAAACTTTTATTTCAGATTTGCAACAATTGTTAAAAAGTCATAATGTTGATTGGAGGTTTAATTGTAAGACATTCATGTAAGAGTATCAGAAAGGTGACCAAAGTCAATTTAATATTTTTTGACTGGAATTAAAAAGATATATATTCTTGTGCAAGAAAAGGGAGATAATTCCATCAATACAAAGCCTTGTCTGCAGTTTAAAGCTAGCATCTTCAACAGTTAGTTATACAAAAGTTGGGGCGTCCGTGGCCGAGTGGTTAAGGTCGTTGACTTCAAACCACTTGCCCCTCACCTCTGTGTGTTCGAATCCCGATAGGGACTTTGGATTCTTTCATGTGAGAAAGCTATCCAGCTAGCTCACGGAACGTCGGTGGTTCTACTCAGGTACCCGTACGTGCCTGAAATAATGCACGGAGGGGCACCTGAGGTCTTTACCACCAGTAAAGCTGGAACGTCGCGATATGACCTTTACTGTCTCGATGTGACGTAAAACCCAAAACAAACAAAATATACAAAAGTTAAAAAAAATCTATGTACTCATTAGTTGACATGAAAGCAAATATATACGAGGCCTTTACCAAAGTTGTAATCCTGACCAGTTTGATTTAAGACAAACTTTTGTATTTTAAGGAGAACCTTTTTAAGTTCACAATTCACAATTTTACACGTTTCCAAAAGCGTTGTAACGTTGGAGAATAAGAAACTTATTTGAAATTGAAAGATAAATACTAAAGGGAATCTAATGTGTTTTTATTTGCATAAAGGGATCAGATTTCGAGATGATTTGTGAACCATTTGCAGGTTTTCAAATACAGTATATGCATAAATCTATTATAAGTTTTGCCGAGAATACATGTATATACTATTACATATACTGTTATTACAAATTCTCAATGATTCTAAAGACTGCTTGCTGGTTTTGAAAGTTTGAATGTTTTACACTAGTGAAATGATAGCGACAGACAAATATAGTAAAATAGTGACACTGACATATAATGATAAATGCAGTGTTCAGAAAATAACAGGGCGATTATTCGTATCAATATACAAAGACGTCATCTTCAATTAAGTCGAGGATTATGAGACAAAACAATGACAATGTTTATCGGAAACGGTTTATTAACCCATTTGTAAAGAGAATGAATTCCTCAAAATCTGAGCTTAAAGTCGAATTAAGGATAAGTATCAAAGACTTTTTCAATCATTCTGTTTGTCCATACAGAGAACTGACATGTAAACTGACTATTTTGCTAAATCATAATTGTATATAGCCAAAATTTTAGAATATGGTTTCTTACAAAAACCATTGACAACGTTATCACTATGAGCAGTTTAGCAGTTTGATTTAAAACGCTCAAATACTCCATAAATCAAACGCTTTAAATCGGTCAATTTTTATATTAATTCCTTTGATGAAGTTATTGTGTACAATGACCGCATTATTACGATCCTTTTCACTGAAGGTTTTGAAGTATATATCTCCTGAAGGAAAGAGTGATCCATTTAATATTGCAACTTTAAGATTTTTCGACATTTGAATTAAATTATTAAAAACAATTTGATTCACCGAAGCCCGTTCCATTAACCTTTTGTCCCATTCTCTTATCAAATTCTCTGTTTCTTTGTTTCGTCTTATTGCAAAAAATCCAGCACAATAAAGCTTTCTATCTAATGGCATCCACAAGTCATAGTTGCCTTTAAAATATGGTATTGGATCGTGTAGCCATACTGTATCAACATCAGAAAAAAGAAGGAAGCGTGTGTATGGTAAGTACATCAAAATATGTGTTGCGCGGACAGACATAAGCTTTCTAAATAACGGTGTATTGTATGAAGAAGCATTAGAAATATTTATATAGTCACTTCTGTGTACCTGTATTGATGCATAGTGATCCGATTTAAGCTTTTTAAAAACTATATCATCCTCTGCAATAACAATAACTGAATATTGTACAGAAAGTTTTAAAAAGTAAACATACCAGTTTTGAAATAATTCAAAGGCGCCATGATTTAATTCAAGAAGAATTGTCCAGTTTTTAGTTTCATTAGTGTTCCATGTCAGTTTACTATCTTGATAATGCATTGTTGGTTTTGCTTTAGTCTTATAAATAGCTTTGCTATCAATTATTTTCTTCTTATCAATTACTTGTAAAGATTGTAACTTCAAATTTCTTTTGGTAGTTTTATTAAAAATGAAAACGTGACAAATAAGTAGCAGAACAAAGGTTATAAAAGGCAATATCTTCTTATGAGAAAACATTTTCCATATAAATATACTAAATATACGTAAACATTTTTAAATTAGAATGTATATGAATAAAATTCAAAAATTGTATCACGTTGAGAGATCCATCGGTATCTTTTGAAAGTCTCTACTGCACTTAATTTCCAAAATATCGGTTTCACGTTTATATAGGCTGTTTTTTATTGTTAAAGGATCACGCAGGCAATGTGTATTTTCATAAACATTTAAATATAAATGTTCAACCGTTCCAAAGTTCCAATAATAATAACCATGTAAATGTAAATGTAAAGCATTCGCAGTGCCACTTGTTACAGCATAGGAATAACATGGAATTTATTTGTTTTCATGAGTGTTTGTGTCCTATCAAAAACCTGTAAACATTAAGATAAAAAAATACAAAGTGTGACTTTGTGGCCTATTTTTGCCTCAATATAGATCTTTATTATAACGTTGATTATCTGACTAACATTTTCCTTGCTCTAGCGCGTAAAATTAAAGATGTAAATCTAATTAACTACAAATATTTAAAACTTAATATCTCAAAAATATTTAGGAATGCCAATTCTTTTCCGATAATTATTGTACATATTTAGAGTTCTTTTCTGTTAGCAGTTAAATAATAGATGACAATGGGTTTATGTTCACCAATTAATTATCTTTTTAAAGTATGTTTCCTAAATCAGAACAACATCTTTATCTCTTTAACATAAAACACAAATTATTTAGTAATTTTATAAACGTTATTTGTTTTTAACTGTTTCGGTTGGCTATCAGCTGTAATATTTCAATATGCCGTGAAATCCAATCAAAAGAACCTTCAGCTGAATATGCCACCATGGTATTAATAATTAAATTGTTTTCATTTGTTTACTTTGCCATGCATTGAATTAGGAAATTATTACACTAATATCAAGGAAAATGTATACAAAATTAAAATAATTTTCTTTTAAATTGGGGTATAACAAATATGTAAACCGAAGTTTATATAATATACTCTATAACAAGATTCTTTCGCATTATAGCCATTTATGATTTTTCGGGTTTTACAGTCTTTTTTTTTTAATTTTCTTCAAAAGAAATTCTATTTACTGTATACATTTTTAAACAACATTAAGACACATCAATCTTAATTATTGCCTTTATAAATTGCACATAACAAGGAAATAATTTAAAGCAATATAAATATTTCAGAACACACATTTCCTCAAATATTTTTTGCAATAAATGAAACTAGGATGAAACTCTGACTTAAATATATAAATAAATTTGTATGTATTTCTAATATTGACCTTTTATTTAACTAGGTGACTAATTGTCATTTCTTTATGGTTAGGCCCTATATAAAAACAAATAACATAAAAACAAAGTAAAACTTTTTGAGAGTTTTTACGCTTTGACATAATATGTTTCCTTTATCTGCTCTATTGAACTGAGGAAGCTAAATAAAGCGAAACATGTTTTGATATTTAAACTTGTGTTTACGCATGCCTCAAATGATATATCTTTTGAATAAAAAATATAATAAACAAGATCAATAAGGAAAGGCGGCGTTCAATGAACGCAACCCCCACACGATCCAGAAACAAAAGCCAGTGGCAAGGAGCCCAGGAGGACCCCAAGTAGAAATAATTAGTAACTGATAAGGAATTAAAAGAAAACAAATAAATGATTGATAATAGGCCTATAAAGTCAACGGGAATAGAGGAAGGGGATAGGAGACCCGGGGAAAGGGGGATGGTAAATAAAAGAAATAAAAACTATAGGCAAAGGGGTAGATACTTACCGTAGATTCTTTCAAAGAAACTTTTGCTCTTATTCACAACTTCGAAAAAACATTATTTTTAAATCTTAAGACTTTCAGCATCGATGCAACGGCTTTCTGAAAATCAACGTAATGAGGCTCTTGTGATGCTGCAGGCGGGTGCTCGGGTTATGGACGTTGCTCAACATTTTGGCTGCTCTATAGTAATAATAAAATAATAATAATAATGATAATAATAATAATATATAATCTTAGTACACGTTTTGTTAATACTAGATACGTTCATCTGGTGCATCTCGTGTGACGACACTAAGGGACGACCACGCCATTAAGCTAAATTACCTTTGCAACCGGATTTTGTCTGCTACAGCTACTGCTCGGCAGTACATGACTGCACCAAAACTATTCGAAATTGCCTTATACAATCGAATATTCCAATTCGTGCCCGCATACCATATACTGGTCAGAGACTGAGACCTTGTGATAGGATCGCCAGTTTGGCATTGGCACAGCGTCATTAATTCTTTACACCAAACCAGTTGGGTCGGGTTATTTTCAGCGACGAATCCCGCTTGTCGCATGCTGATGGCAGGATGCGAATCTGTCGTCGCAGAAATGAACGTTTCGCACAATGTTGCATATGTATATGTCGTACGATTTGAATCTCATAATGTATGTCGTATATATCGATAAGAAACTTATACAATGTTTGGTAGCCTTCTTTGTTTGAAACTAATATGCCATATTATCTTCATTGTTAATCTGCATACACAATTTAACATAAACAATCATCGGAACACGTACTCTATATACAGTTAAAATCAATACGATATGTGTTCAATAAAAAGAATAGAGGGGATATTTGTTCCTATCGTTATTTCTTGTGAAATCGTGTTAGTTCTTTAAACTATTTTCATAGAAGAGCAACATTGCTATTCTTTTATTTTCGTTTTTGTTTTTTTGACAACACTCGATAGAAATTTATTTTGCCCCACATCAATAATTCATTTTCGTTTACAAAAGAAAAAACAAAGAATAAAAAAGAAGGAAAACCCCGAAGAAACTGTCGCAAAACGTAAGAAGTAGTAAAGACATTGGTCAGATACGAATTGTTTTCAGAACAGTATTTCATCATGAACTTACACCGTTTGTGGTCTGTAGTGATAGTCACTGAATGAAATAAATGTAAATTTTGTCTTCTATTTTCATTTTAAAGTTAATTTGTATTATAACATTAACCGATACAATACAGGATTTTTTAATCAATAGAATTTGATAATTTGTATATAAGTTTTTGTTTATTTCTGCTTGCTCAAACATGCGGTATTATTAAACAAAGTACTGATATTTTTCCAAAGAAACACTCTTGGTATAAGCATTTAGCATCATTTAGAGAGAAAACTGAAAAAGCCTTCTAATTTTCTAGTTCTTCATGATAATTGACAGTATAAATAAGCAAAATTACTCCTAACTTCAGCAAATTACACTACCGTCATATAAGATTATAGTCTTTACACACCAAAAGTTTCTTCTCACCAACCCTATTGTTTCTGATTAAATTGCTAATTATGATATTAACTGACACGTCACAAGGAACTTCACACTTATTTAGTCACTCACTTTCATATTTTGATTCGCTGTCCAGGTTAGTGTCCCATCGCATCGATGTGGAAATTATGTCATTGAAATTTATGTCTCATATATCTGTGACGTATATTCTGTAAAACAAATAACTTGTCATTTGAATAAAATTTATTTTATGTGCTTCACGTAACAGACATGAAAAGAATAACCATTCAACATAGTCACAGTGCAAATGAAATATTTTGTCTGAAAATTATCAAACCCATATCTCGCTTATATGTTTCGTCTCGTTCGTGAAATAATGTTATCAATACAGCTTATCTGTTCAATGTTTGTTTTCTTCTCTTGTGTATAAATAAACGCCATTTTTATGTCGAAAGCTACGAAAGCGTTTGCTCTTATTAAACGGATAATATTTATAATTTTCTTACATACTAATCTTACATATGTTATCTGTGTGTGAGCTCCAAGCTATATATTGATTGCCGAACTAATTTTACGTTTTACACAGCCGTACAAGTGACATTTCGTTTAAAGATTTTTAAGAATGAACGTGTAAACCTTGTGAAGGAATGACGATAATTTCCTAAAAAACGTGTGGTACAACATCAGTATTGAAGTATGCCCTTGAAATCTGTTTGTTTCTGCATGAGATAAGGCCGTTTTTGTCAAATGTTTTTTCCCCTCGCTGATTTTAAAACAATACAAGTAAAAAAAACTTTCGGAAAAAGATATGGTAAGAGGAAGTCACAAAAAGGGAACATATGAATTATAGGTGTCACGTATTTGTGAATATTTTCTGTTTAAGTCATTAAAAGGAAATTAAAAAGCGACATAGAGTATGATAGTTGAAAATGCGAAGAAAACAAATAATTCTACTTTTCATAATCATCTTTGGTTTACAGCTGTTTACTGGTAAGTAACTGAAACATATTTGTTATAGAGAAATGAAAATTATTAATGAAAATACTGTTTTGTACGAGCCTACATCAAAAGGATAAACCAAAACACTCTATTTATGCTGAGCATAACGATCTTTTATAATCCTCGATTTTGTCATTTTTTTTAAGTTTTGATTTGATTTCATAAGATAATAACTGGAAATATGTCAATGACCAAAGTGTGCGCTAGATGGGTGCCGAGCCTGTTAACGGATGTGCAGATGAAAATAGTTTTGCAGCAGAAAGACGATATTGTCAGAACAAGTGAACGTCCAATCGTTATCTTCAAAACGTCGTTGTCACGCGGACTGATGCGACGATGTTGTATATTTATATAGCTTTATAATTTTGTGCGTAATGCATAGCATTGGATAAAAATACGCATGATATTTGAAATATTGGAAGGAATTGAGCGACATGTTTCCTTTTTGACATTTATCAACATTTTTTGTTTCAAATTAACAATCGTCCTGGAACTATACGGACACACTCTTTTTATACTTAAATATAACGTTCAAATGGAACGTGTTTTCTTTTAAATCTAAATCTTAAATTTTGCCATGAAAACCCTGAGCAACACAACTTGTTGCCATTTTTTAAAATCTCTTCAATTAGTTCACTATACTGTCTTACAAGTGTGTGTGTGTGTGTGTGTGTGTGTGTGTGCGCGCATGCGTGTGTGTGTGTGCGCGTGCGTGCGCGTGTGGGTGTGTATTGGTGTATGTGTGTGTGTGTTCGTGCGCGCGCGTGTGTGCGTGTGTGTGCGTGCGAGCGTGTGTGTGTGTATTTTCAAATGTCTGATAATTTAAATAAACATTTCAATTCTAGGAATATGCTACATTGCGGAAGATCAAAATCAAAAGAGAGAAAATTCTAGAAATAACCAAGAGGTAATAAACATAAAATATATATATATATATAATATCTTTCGTAAAGTATCATTTTAAATGACATTATTTCGATATAAACAATCTAAAAGGTAGACAACATGTCGACTTACAGCTACAATAGATTATTAGTCTATTTTTGGAAGTGCGTTATCTTTGAATGTATGCGTCATCTTTGAATGTAAAAGCATCTTTTATAGTATATTCTATGTTTTCTTGAAATGAATGTAAGTAAATTACCAAAATATATTTGCATCATTGATTATTCTTGAACAAGACATAAACATAAACTTCGAACAGTCGATATTTATGTTTACAAACATAATGTCTTATTAGCTTTTCGACCTGATTATTTACATATAGCATTGCCATTTACAATAGGTTTTAACTATTTTATCTATTTTGTTAATATATCACGAGAGAAGTATCTGTTGTTACATGAACACTTTACGACGTTTATTTTTTGACATATTTTCAATTTCATATACAATGTTTTCTAAAATGCAATGAACCATACCAACTTCGAGATTGTGTTTGTTTGTTTTGTTTGATTGTGTTTTACGTCACACCGACACAGTCATATGGCGACATTTTAGCTTTACTGGTGGAGAAAGACCTCGGGTGCCATTTCGGCACTATTTCAGACACGAAAATGTACCTTCGTAAAACCACCGATGTTCCGCAAGCTAGCGGGAAAGCTTCCTCACATGAAATAATTCAAAGTCCCTGTAAAGATTCAAACCAGCACCGTGAGTGACAAGTGGTTTGAATCCAACGACCTTCGACCAGCTTCGTGATATTTCAACTATAACGCTTGTGTAAAACATATAAAAAATATTTCATAGATTTTAATTTTCAGGATAAGTGTGTCTCTTCGAATGACATAATGGTGGATAATACAAATTGGTTTGATACAATGTATAAAGCATGTAGACAATTGGGCTATTCGGTGGATGTCAATTCAACGAATATTAGGGCACATATGTCACCAAACCTGAAACTTTTGTACTGTAGAGTTAATAAATGTGCATCCACAATGACACTAGAATTACTTAAACAGTTGTTTAGCTGTGATACAGAATGCCTGATAAAAAATGCTGAACGTGTTCGGTTAAATACAAACGCAAGACAGGTGATGGATGACGCATTTTCATTTATGGTTGTTCGTGAGCCCTATGGTCGTTTGTTTTCCACTTATTGCAATATTTTCTATTTCCCAAAGGAAGATTGGCTTAACAGAGGAACTAAACTCATAAAACTAACACGGTTAAATATTTCATACGACAGTCTTACTTATGGGCATGATTTATCTTTTTCTGAACTAGTTAAATACACTGTGGACACATATGAAAATAATGATCGTTTGGACGAACATGTTCGACCAATGCACCATAAATCCTGTAATCCATGTGTTTTTAAGTTTGATTATATCGCACATCTTGAGACGTTACAAAACGACTTTGATTTCATTTTTAATAACCTACAGGAAGAAACAGTCGGAATGTATCAAAAGGATATTCTGATCTCCTTGAAAAAATGGACTACTTTAGGACCGATAAAGCATTTATTTAGAACTATTCCTTTGTTGACAGGTTCAAATATATCTTTGTATGATGTTTACCTTCGTGCATGGTGTTATTACCAAATAACAGGACATGTCTTAAAAACAATCAACTTTCCATATAACGAAAGCGATCTGAATGACATTAAAAAGGAAGACTTTTTAAGTGAGTTGACGAAAGCAATGAATGTATCAGCAGTTTATAAAAATGAATTAAAATTACAGAGAGCGGAAGCGATGATTCAGGCTTATTCAACAATATCTGATGAATATATGGAGCGATTAAGCAATGTCGTTTTAGGCGATTGTCTTTTATTTGGATATGACAACAAACCGGCACATATATTTGATAAAATTAGTTGTTTACAGAAGAAATCGAATTTTGATTATTTCAAGGGTTTGTGAATCCTTTAAGGCATTTTATCAATACAAATATGTTAATAATATTTAAAGATACTGTTATTATTAGTACCATATGTAAGTGATGTATGAACACCTATAAATGTTTAGATACGTACTAGTATAGTGTATATTGTTTGTTTAATTTTAGCTCAGGGTGGCTAATATTACATCGTCAACTTTATGAAATAAGCAAGCAGAATTACCATTTCGTGTAAAAGTAAAGCGGGGATTGAGAAAAAAGTGCAAATAGTGATACGAGCATGAAACTTTTAGGAAATCATCTTTAAACCATGCTTATTTCAAGAGAGAAGTGGGTAATAAACTGCTATTTCAAGATGGCCTCTTTTTTAAAATTAAAATGGCTCATGCATTCATTTCTTTACAGACCTAAAATTTACACCAAAGCATTATTAAGTTTCTCTTTTATGCCTATTGATAAAGTAACACATCCTTTGTAAAGACTTCTAAAAGAGACTTCCTGGATATATCACTTAGATACATAATCAACAAACGAAATGAATTCCAACGTTTTGTCAAACACTAAAAAGTATTTTTCCCCTTTTTATAATTCTTAGTCAGTTTAACTTGCCTAATGTTTATACGTAGATATAGAAAACGAAATGAGAGTATATGCAAACAATGTAAAGTTTCTATTGATATATTTTAGACAAATCTTTAAAAAGAACTTTACTTCATAAAAATAAAGATATAATTTGATTATTTCTCATTTATTTGAACAATTTGGTATCGAAATAAGCAAGAACAAATATAGTGCAACAAATTATTTTATAAAAAATAAATGTATAGGTTTTGCAATGGGCATCCATATTGGACGCTATTTTTGATTCTGACGAGGTATAAAAGCGGAATTTGGTGAGATTAACAAAAAAACTAGGCATAAAAGAGAAATCTTGGAAAGTATGTCCTTGCGTATAAAAATGTTCAAAAACATTTGTTATTGTTTCAAGATAATGGTTTATATATAATATTACATCGCAGTTAAAAAACAATTTAAAAATATTTGAGAAGATAAAAAGAAACATTTTTTAAACAGAAGCTCGTTGATTTAGTAAAACATTCAAATAACCCTAGATCGTTTTGGGGAAAAATCAAATATTTTGTATCTTCATCTTCGAACAGTAACGTTCAGTGCAGCATTCCTTTAGAATCTTGGAAAGATAATTTTATGAAATTATTTCAACGCCTAGTTGATGAAGAGGCGGAATGAAATTGTTCTTGTTAAAAATTTAACTAAAAATGAAACTGAGGTCTTCAGCTCAGAAATCACAGCAGAAGAAGAAATATTAATGAGTATTCGTTTATTGAAATCTGACAAGGCGCCGAGACATGGTTATTCCCACCAAATTGTTTTTAATACACATTTGATTCAATTATGCCATTAATGGTTACTTATTTCACATAGTATTTGCTTAAGGGGAATTTTCAGCTTCATTGAGTACCGCTATAATGATACCATTGCAAAAAAAGGGTAAACGCAATAATCCAGCGAATTATCGGAGAATATCATTACTTAACATTTTAGTAAAATAAACACATCCATTCTAAATAGACGTCTAGCTTTTTATGCCAATGTTTCTAATAAGATAGACGAACCCAAATCTGGATTTAGAGCTGGTTAAAGTACCACATTATATTTGTGCTGAAATAGCTTATTTCTAAGGCACTTTCAAACAAAATGGAAAATAATGTTGCATTTGTTGATTTCAAAACGGCATTTGATACTGTCAATCGAAATAAGCTTTGTCAAATACTTTACAATGATAATATAAGGGGAAATCTTTTAAATTCTATTTTTGCTATGTATAATAATGTTAAAACATGTGACGTTCTAACGGTCATACGTCAGATTATTTTAATTGCCCGATGGACCTCAACCAGGGTTGTCTGGCTTCGCCATTATTGCTCTCATTTTTCATGAATGGATTATCAGTTATGATGAACAATGACGATAAAATTAAAGGTATAAACATTATGCTAAATTTCAAAATTGCTGCTAATGTTTGCGTATAACGTAGCTTTGATTGCCTAAACAGTACGTGATTTACAATATCAACTTAATGTATTAGAATTAATATCTAGTTGTTTGCAGGTAAATACTTCAAAAACAAGTCATCGTTTTTAGAAAGGGCATTCGCTCGGCGTGTAATCAGTATTTTTACTATAACAATCATCAACTCGATAAAGTAACATTTATATCCACTGTGTCGATAAATATTATGAGCAATTAACTTGCAATGATAGCTTAACGAGTATTATTTTCTTTACATTCTTCTGTGTATGAATATTAACATTTACCTTCATATATATTTTTGTTAAATTATTTGATACAAAATTATTGCCGATCCCTCTGTATGGATCCGAATTATAGGGATTTAAACCAAATGATACTTGTGAGCTCATTCATCGTTTGGTTTGCAAACGATTTTTATGTGTAAATAAAACATTTATCAATAATTTAGTACTATTTGACTTTGGTCGATACCCAATATACATATAATGTGCAAATCGTTGTAAAAAGTACTGGTTCAAATTATTAAAATTACCTTATGACAGATATGTAAAAAGTTGTTAAATGAATTCACTAATTTACTCCATTTTTTATTTATGCAAAACATTTTAGCTTAGTATTGTTTCTGTGACTGATGTTGAATGTCTCAATTGTGTTAATGAAGACCTACCAAGAATAGCATAAAACAGGTTCAATCAAATTAGGCTGCAACCTTATGTAAATTCGACGTGTTGCGCTTTGTTTAGGGATCCTGTGTTTCTCTATTTTGAGAGATAATTTAGGTTAGCCGAGGAATTTTCACTATTCCATTTTTTCGTGGACGGAAGTGGTAATTGAAAGCTACCGTTCATGTCCCCTAGCATCGGCTTAAGGACAATTCAACCCTGTTAAAATTTTAAATTTTGAACACCCGAAGATATATCCATTTGACAGTTATCATAGAATCTTTAATGTGACACGTTATAGCCATTGCATGAAAAAGAGCATGTAAGTTTACCTATTTAGACAAGTTGAATCTATCTTAAATTTCTCCTAATAGCTTCATTAAAAGCAATTATACCTTCCATATTTGGTAGGTTTGGTATAGTTGCGTGTATTTCTCACTAATGTATATGCCCATATATGGTATTGTATATTTCAAATGATAATCATTTTTTCAAAGCTTAACGATCTTACGCCGAATAATTTGAAAGTTAAAAACTTATTCAACCAGGAACTATTGTAAATAAGAATTGGTCATACAAAAGTCTTGAAGCAACCTGGTAAATTTTGAATTTTGAACATCCGAAGATTTGTCTATTTGGCGGTTGTCATCTTAATGTGACATGTTATAGCCATTGCATGAAAAGGAGCTCATAAGGTTAACCTATTTAGGCAAAGTGACTATATCTAAAATTGCTCCTAATAACTTCATTTAAAGCAATTATATATTCCATATTTGGTAGGTTTGGTATTATTGCGTGCATTCTCACTAATGTATATCCATGTGTACGATATATCTTAATTAAAATTCAAAAGTGTCTTTTCATATTTACATTTAGCTTGCCTCATCTTAATTTTTAATAATTTTGCTTCACGTTATTATATATGGCCCAAATGGTAATGCATATTGCAATAAAATCATTGATAATAAAAGCAAATAAAATTCAAAAATGTTTGCACGTCTTTTCATATTCACATTTAGCTTGTCTCATCTGATCAATAATGTTGTTTCACGTTATAATAAGAGGCCCAAATAGTAATGCATATTGCAATGATATAATATATTGCAATATTGCTTTTGATAATAAAAGTGCAAAATATGAGTTTAAAGACCAATCCAATGCGAAGGATAGTAGTCAAATAAATTAAACCTGTTTGACAAATTATGACCAGGATATCCTTTGTAATAAACAGTTATGCCACCGGAGAGCCATGCACCCCACCATCCAAATGTACCTGCTGTAACTATCACATGGTCACACAATGTCTTTAATGCCATATCATCTCCAGCATTTACAAATGGACTTACTGGAACATTTTTATATTCATTTTACACCAAAATGTATCCTGTGATACTATGATAAAGTCAACGTTTTGGAATGTCTTTAAATAGAAGTCCATTGCTCTTCTTACAAAGTCAGCATCTGGTACACTGTATTTTTTATGCGTCTCTCGCAATAAATCTCCCCGTCTTACATGTATACAAACATGCTGAAAAGTCTTTGTCGTAACTTTATCCAAGAATTCTTTTGCGTTACGGTTATGTACTTCATTCAATCTGAAAATGGTCCTTATTATACTTTTTGCATTATCAAAATACTTCCATGACTGAAGTAATCCTCGCATAGTTACGTTCTTGTTGAATTCCACGATTCCTTGCAAGACTTAAAGGTGGCCGTTTTAGAACATAAGCAATTGGTGCTGTTCTCAACATGTTGTAAATTTGTATCATATCTATTAGGTAAATTGAAATATATGTAAAGCATTTTGTAAGGAAAAAGTGGTGTCATGTCATATTGGTAAGCAATTCCAATAACAGATGCAACTTGAAACATTTGATTACCCATTCTTCCGCACGATTTCCAAATTGTTATATATCTGTTGCAGGATTTGATTTGATTACTCAAAATGCTAAATTTACTTTGCCCTTGAAGTGTACTGCCGTATTGTTTTGTATTCCGATGAAATGAATGATTCCACGAAAGACAAAAACATGACTTTTCATAATTTTTGTCATTAACACCTTTTTCCCAGAATATGTTGTCATACGAATTTAATCCAATATTTTTGTTAAAATATTTCTTTCATTTTATAATATTCATTTTTGAACATAAATTTCTTCAGATTGATGCTTATAGTAACAAACATAAAAAATAATAATAATGTTAGAAAAAAATGTGCTTTCATATTACTGATTCGAAGATGAAAACCAAATTCATAACGTTATATAAGGTTAAATTGAAGGAAATTGTTTCAGTAGTTTCAACGTTCTTTCTATGTCCTTCTGTGATGTCCAACATTACATGACGTTAATATATATTAACAATTTAATATTCTAGCCATTGCCTGCATTAAAATATTTGTTATGTTATAAAAGGCTTGACTGACATATTCAGAGTTGAAACATTATTTTGTATGCTTGTTATAAATAGGATATATTGTGCAAAATGTTGTTCTATTATCAAACATCATAACGACAATAAAACTGATAAAAACATCTTGCTAGATCCAGCAAATTAGTCAATTAATATTGATGAATTACTATTTCCAAAGCCATCTTGTATTCAATCATCATTACTATAATAATAGTGTTATAAATATTAGATTTCTATAAACGCATGTACAATGTAAAGTATTAATAATTTATGGTTTAACTTCAGTGTTGTTATATTTTTCTGGTCCTTTGGAAGCATTGATGCCAGCACTATTAAGTGTTGTGAACTGAGTACCGGTCACGCCTGTGCTAGGGGGCGTGAGGGAAGTTGCACCTTTTCATAATCCCTCATGTACAAACTCAATCAAACCGAATCTGCAATGCTCATGTAATATCATTGTGATGAATGCTTTCGAAGGATCACTTTCTTTCAAGTTTCTTATACTTCACAACAGCAGGTGTCAAGTGCCGTGTCGCAGCTGTAAAAAGTTGCCCCGTACTTCACTTCAGTATTGTTATATTTTTCTGGTCCTTCGGAATCAGTAATGGCAGCACTATCAAGTGATGAGAATTGAGTACCGCTCAAGCTGGTGCTTGGGGCTTGAGGGATGTTGCACCTTTTCATTATCCCTCTTGTACAGACCCAAACAAACCGAGTCTGCAATTTTCATGTAATATCGTTGTGATTAATGCTTCCGAGGGATCACTTTGTTTCCAGATTTTCATACTTCACAATAACATGTGTCAAGTGCCGTGTGGCAGCTGTAAAAAGTTTCCCCGTACTTTACTTCAGTGTTGTTACATTTTTCTGGTCCTTTTGGATCATTGATGCCAGCACCATTAACTGTTGAGAATTGAGAACCGCTCAAGCCGGTGCTGGGGGATGTGACTCAATCATACCGAGTCTGTAATCAAGTACTATCAATTTATTAACGCTTTCGAGGGATCACTTTGTTTCCACATTTTAAAATGTGAATGTGAAAAAAAAGATGATTTATTTTATTTTAATTGACTTTCGGGGCGAGGAGGGTGGGGCGAGTGGACCAAGGCAGGTTTGGACAAGGCGGTGTGTAGAAAGACTTTGGTGAGGGGTGAAGTTATTGGTTAAGGTGGCATTTGAAATTTCTCATATTGACAAGGATCAAATTTGTCGCAGAAACATCAGTATATTATGTGACATGGCTTATTATCTATATTTTAATCTTTAAAAACGAGTTCATTAAAATGAATAATGAGCTAGCTTGTTTCCACGGACAAAACATTTTGATATATATCTCGAGAAAAGGAGGTTTATCTATCAAAAGAAAGTCTGCTGTGGTAAAATTCAAAATTCTTATCACACAGTGTACCTTTTTCATTTTCCCACAGATTAAAACAGAGAGGACTATAATTTGAATCTTTGTCAGTACGTCCGTCCGCCGTTCATCCGGGATAATTTGTATGCTGATCATACCTGATTTATGGATAACTGGCTACTAGGATCAAAACAGTCTGGTTCCTGCATTGACTTAACAAATACAAATGATTGTTTTGATTATATGCATATCACGGGGGAGGAATTGTTACACGAAGGATGGAGTTCTTAAGATAACTTGTACAGGAGTTCTTGTGATAACTGTCACGGAGTTTGTCGGAAAACATCTGTATATACTACAAAAATACTCGTTAAAAATGGTTATTGTCATCGTTCAAAAATGAGTTTTAGGTGCTAAATTAAACTTTAATAATTATGCTTGTCTTACATTTTGTATTATGTGTCAAAGCCTAAGTCGCAGGCCATTTTTCATCGCCTCTTGCTTCAAATCTGGTAGTTTTGAGTAAAATTTCCAAACTACTTGCCAATTCACAAGTTTTGACCGGTTGATTTCTGGTCTTCATCCTTCCCATACATAATTACCTAATTATAATTGCAACATAAAGCACCGGCTAACAGATTTATACCCGATTTTTCAAATGTCCCGGATTTCTTGTGATAACTCTGAAGATGTCACAGAGTTCTTATGATAACTTTTGTTATTGCCAGTGTCTTTCTTGAACTAAATTACGGCATCTTTTGGTGTTTGTTATCATTAAATAAGATTATAAGTCATTGTGAAATGCAGTACGATCATCCTTTGCACACAAATGTGGACAAAATAGTGGTATTAAGTGTCTGCAAAGGATAAACAGATGATAGGCTATCATCTACAGTAAAAATTGAACCAGCGGCCACTGATATTCAGCAGTATAATGGCTTAAACCACAAAACAAAAATGTCTCATAACGTACACGTTAATCTCAGTTTCACATGTTTTAAGCAACCACCTTTCTTAAGCAGACAATATGTAGGCATGCTTCCCTTACCTAAGGGCCAAGTAATTTGTATCATTTTATACCATAATAAATAAGTATAAAACCAGGATAATTTTCATACCTGTGTCTTAAAAAAGTACGATACATGATCTCATCTGCGGCTCTAACTACCGATCTCTCGAACAAATTTGAACTGTCCCTCCAGGTTCGAGCGAACTAAGTTTCACTATATATTTTTGTTATCATAATAGCAAAAGTAGAAAAGTTCCTCCACTAAGATTACATAGGGGAAATGCTCATCAAACATCGACAGAAAAATATACATGAAAATATCATATTTGAGTATTTCAAAGCGCATGTTATCTCGTACATAAATGCCCTACTGGTTTTATAGCAGTTCCCGGTCCCAAATCGCACTTTTTAACAAATAAAATAAAAATCTGTCTCCCGAAGAGTGCAAACTTTGACAGAACAAAGTTAGGTACCTGTCCACCATTACCATGTTTTAATGTTGCTCTTTTATTTTACATTTTAATGGAATAAAAGCCTGAGATGTAACACACATTTGCACACATTTATTCAAAATTTCATAACAGTTTTTCGGACCTTTTTTATTTTGAATATAATTCAGTACCAATAAGCAATGTTAAGTAGATATAACTTCCCAAACTTTTCCGTGTCGTCTGCAAATATATTCTTTAAAAGTTGTGATTTACCTAGAATGGGATTTCAGTTATTGTGCATTGGCATTCAAACTAGAATTGCCCAGGTGTTGCTTGTAAGTGTCGCAAGTTCTCTCATGTAACTTAAAACAACAGACAAAACTTTGATACATATTAATCGCTGTACTATTATAACTGCTGTATTACATAGAAAACAAATGTTTCTCTGACTGATGCAGTTACATAGATGCTAAACTGAGAAAAAATAGATTGTATGCCTGGATGAAAATGATAAAGGGCCAGGATACTGCTAGGAGCCGGAAACTGCTAGGAAACCAGTACATAAATCCTTTTCCAAAATTCTGGAAACAAAGTGATCCCTCGGAAGCATTAATCACAACAAAATAACATAAGAATTGCAGACTCGGTTTAATTGAGTCTGTACATGAGGGATAATGAATAAGTGCAACATCCCTCACGCCCCCTAGCACCGGCCAAGTCTACGAAATATGCGTCAAACAAAAAGAAATACTATGATAAAGAAACGGGGGTAAGAAATAATATCTCTTGAACAAAAATTCACTCAAAACCAACATTATATATTCTATTTTTTGCGCAAAGGATGAGCGTACTACATTTCATAATGATTTACAATCTCATTGAATAATAAGAAACACTAAAACGTGCCGTGATTTAGCGCAAGAAACACAATGGCAATACCAAAAGTTATCATAAGAACTCTGTGACATCTTCAGAGTTATCACAAGAACTCCGAGACATTTGAAAAATCGGATATAAATCTGTTAGCCGATGCTTTATGTTAGCAATTTTGCATTATAATAAGGTAATTATATATGGCAAGAATAAAGACCAGAAATAAACAGGGCAATACTTGTGAATTCGCATATAATATGGAAATTTTACTGAAAATTGCCAGATTTATAGCAGGAGGTGAATAAAAATGGCCTGTGAATAAGTGTTTGACACATAATACAAGATGTAAGACAAGCTTAATTATTAAAATTTAATTTAGCACCTAAAACTCATTTTTTAAATATGAAAATAACCATTTTTAACGAGTGTTTTTGTAGTATATACAGATGTTTTTCGACGAACTCCGTGACAGTTATCAAAAAAACTCCTGAACAAGTTAACATAAGAACTCCATCCTTCGTGTAACACTTCCTCCTCCGTGTATATGTAGAAGGTAATATTGGTATGATGCACATTACTTCAACCTTCCGTTTATCGTTCTGTTTGTCACAATCGTGCAATAACTCAAAAAGTACAAAAATCTAGTTTGATGAGTTTTTTTAATTTTATTTCTCAATCGCCCGTCCGTCTGTTTGTCTTTCGTTTTCACTATCCAAAGAAATCTGAATCCCGCAAGAAGTAATATTAAGGGGCCAGTTACACAGACGGTCGGTCCCCAATCGGTGATACGATTTTAAATTTACTCGCTGTTATGATCGGTTGTCATGCGTGATTTTATTTCTGGTTTTCTGTGTAAACGACCATCGGTGGCAGAAAGCAAACTCAAACGGGGTTGGATCGGTTATAAAACTGCTGAAATAAATCGGTTTTTATCGTTTGTAAATCGGAGCTAAATCGGGCGTAACGCTGATTAATCGGTGGTTGATAGCTAGTCATCAGTGGTTAAACCCTTTCCGTCAGATATGGCCGGTGATTCATATTTGGTCATCTTTGTCCGATCGGCGATATCGGTGATTAAGAGCTTGCATATCTCGTGATATCGGTTGCTGTCGGTTATTTGTAAAATATTTTCACCGATCTAGAATTTTAAACATGTTTAAAAATTCCAATCGGTAATTTTTCACCGATGAAACTTATCTTTCCCCAATAGCAGTTGATAGGTGGAAAACAGGTGACCAATAGGTGATATCGGTGTTAAATACGTTGTCATCGGTTCACTCCATAATTTGGCTCAAAAAACTACCGATCAATCACCGATGGCTCTGTGTAACTGGGGTGTTATATTACAACTGCTAAAATTATCCTGTTGATACTTGCTTTGATATTAGCTATATCATTTTGCCACCCTTCCGTCTGTTTGTCGCTATGCGTGTGTTAACGAATAACAGTTTTTGATAACAATTGCATAAGTATTATTGTCCCCCGCCTTTTCGAAGAAAAAATTGGGATATAGAAATAGGCTCCGTCCGTCCGTCTGTCCGCACTCACAGGACAGTAATTATGTGGCTAGAGGGACAATAGGTAACTGTTCTTTCTCTTTGATGTCATTCATTCCGTAATGCTTTTATGTGGCTATTTTCTTTTGTGTGGCTAAAAAGAACAATAGAAAGAACAATAGAGTAGCCACATTATTACTCTCCTGTTAGAACTTCCGTCCGTCCGTCTGTCCGTCCGTCCGTCACACTTTCGTGTCCGGTCCATAACTTTGTCATTTATGAAAGGAATTTGAAATAACTTGGCACAAATGTTTATTATAATAAGACGATGTGTCATGCGCAACAACCAGACCTCTACCTCCAGGGTCAAGGTCACACTTGCTCATTCAAGGTCAACATTGCCTTTTTGAGGGTATATGTCGTGTCCGGTCCATAACTTTCTTATCTATGAAGGGTTTTGTAAATACTTGCCATAATTGTTCACAATAAGCAGACGATGTGTCATGCGCAAAAACCAGTCACCTACCTTCAAGGTCAAGGTCACACTTGGATGTCAAATATTAACATAGTCTGTTACGTGTATATTTCGTGTCCGATCCATAACTTTGTCATTTATCAAAGGAATTTGAAATTACTTGGCACAAATGTTTGTTATAATAAGACGATGTGTCATGCGCAACAACCAGACCTGTACCTTCAGGGTCAAGGTCGTACTTGCTCATTCAATGTTAACATTGTCTATTTGATGGTATATGTCGTGTCCGGTCCATAACTTTCTTATCTATGAAGGGATTTTGTAAATACTTGCCATAATTGTTCACAATAAGCAGATGATGTGTCATGCGCAAAAACCAGTCACCTACCTTCAAGGTCAAGGTCACACTTGGAGGTCAAATATTATCATAGTCTGTTACGTGTATATTTCGTGTCCGGTCCATAACTTTGTCATTTATCAAAGGAATTTGAAATTACTTGGCACAAATGTTTGTTATAATAAGACGATGTGTCATGCGCAACAACCAGACCTGTACCTTCAGGGTCAAGGTCGTACTTGCTCATTCAAGGTAAACATTGTCTATTTGATGGTATATGTCGTGTCCGGTCCATAACTTTCTTATGTATGAAGGGATTTTGTAAATACTTGCCATAATTGTTCACAATAATCAGACAATGTGTCATGCGCAAAAACCAGTTGTATACCTCCAAGGTCAAGGTCAAACTCGGAGGTCAAATATTAACATAGTCTGTTACAGGGTATATTTCGTGTCCGGTCCATAATATTGTCATTTATCAAAGGAATTTGAAATAACTTGGCACAAATGTTTGTTATAATAAGACGATGTGTCATGTACTTGCCATAATTGTTCACAATAATCAGATGATGTGTCATGCGCAAAAACCAGTCACCTACCTCCAAGGTCAAGGTCACACTTGGAGGTCAAATACTTACATAGTCTGTTACAGGGTATATTTTGTGTCCGGTCCATAACTTTTTCATAGATCAAAGGATTTTTAAAAAATACTTCGCACAAATAGTCACTATAATAAGAGGATGTGTCATGCGCAACACCTGCATCCCTACCTCCAAGGTCAAGGTCACACTTAGAGGTTAAAAATTAACATAGTCTGTTATAGGGTATATTTTGTGTCGAATCTAGAACTTCCTATAGAACTTATATTTTCGATCCTTGAAGATCGTTCAGCACGACATTATTGTTGTGCTTGTGGTATTTTTAGTTTAAACTTTTCGGCATTTTCTAGTTGGGTGGTTCCAATATTCCTACTTGAATAATGTTGAATCACCCTTAGGATATGTTGCCTGCTTTTTAAATTTGTCTTTTGACGTCTTATCTGTGATACGCAGGCTTCATAACCTCTGATCCCTTTCAAAATTCCATTTTATTTAGTTCCGCCGATTGTTTTCTCGTTTAGGGCACATGCTTTTTATTACTTGGGGACCATACGCCGCTTTTCATGGAATGGCACGGAAGTGTCACATTGAAGGTTCCATGATAACCGCCGTATGAACACATCTGTGGATGTTTCTAAATTCAAAATTTTACTATTCCATGTTTAAATGTTGAATTCTGCTTGGGCCAGTGCTAGGGGGCGTGGACGGTGACTTGCACTTTCCAGTACCGTCCATGAACAGGCTCAATCAAACCGAGCCTGCAACATTTTCAATTTTGCCGTGTTGGGCTTTCTTTAGGGATTCTGTATTTATCTATTTTCTTCATAGTTCAAGGGATTTTGAAATAACTTGGCACAAATAGTCACAATAATAAGACGATATGTCAAGTACAACACCTGCACCCCTACCTCCAAGGTCAAGGTCACACTTAGAGGTCAAAGGTTAACAGAGTCTGTTATTTGGTATATTTTGTGTCCCGTCCATTACTTCTTCATAGATTAAGGGATTTTGAAAATACTTGGCACAAATAGTCACAATGATTAGATGATATGTCATGCGTAACATCTGTGTCCCTACCTCCAAGGTCAAGGTCACACTTAGAGGTCAAAGATTTACATAGTCTGTTATAGGGTATATTTTGTGTCCAATCTATAACTTCTTGATAGTTCAAGGGATTTTGAAAATACTTGGCACAAATAGTCTCAATAATAAGACGTTATGTCATGCACAACACCTGCTCCCCTACCTCAAAGGTCAAGGTCACACTTAGAGGTCAAAGCTTAACATGATTGATTTTTAAATTCCGTGTTTCATTTTATTTTTTTAACAAATTTAATGTTACATTTGCAGATCTAGCATTGATCATAATATTGGACTGAATGTCCTGAGATCCATACCTCAATCTTTTGAAATAGCACAATTTTATGCTTCATATAAAATTTCCCGAGGCGGGGGACGTTGGTAACTCTGTTACAAATTCTTGTTTCTTCCTAGTTACATGTTGACTCTAAAATAAAACAGACAGGCGGTCGTGTGGGCGAGTGTTGTCAAACAAACATTTTCCGTAGGCATGTCTGTTCAACGAAGCGTGGACGAAATTGTTCATGATTCACGTGAAGTAACAGGTTAACTCAATACTTTGTTAGACCTTATTTGGCAAGTTCCGAATTATATCTATACCCCCCAGAAATTACCGCAGGGATATAGTAATAGTATCAGTCCGTCTTTCCAACCGTTGTCCTCACATATTAGTATGTCACTCAAGATTGGTGCAGTGTGCAGAGGTTGTAAATTTAACTACCATGATTTTGACTTTTACTCTTGGTTATTTTAATGCTCATATTCGTTTTTCTTAAAAGAGAATTTGAAATAACGACCTTGTACAGTGTGCAGAAGTGGTGAATTCTATTACCATGATTTTGACTTAATATTCTTTATTACCTTACACGCTTATTTTTGTACTTAACATTACGCAAAACCTTATTTGATATATCGGCGTGCTTTGTCATAGAAACAAGAATTTTTTAAGGAGTTGTGTAATAATGATATATCTAACTGCCACATTATTTAAGAAATTAAATGATGCTATTTTTTGCTTCATTTTTACCCAAAGCTTCTTTTTTGCGAGGACACAAAAATGAAAGGAGGGGGCAATGGAGGGATCAGGTGATCTAATAATTCTTCTGATTACATTATTCTTTATTTGAGTATTTTTCAGGTCAAACTACTTATTACTACATACTGATTAAAAGCCGGTTGGGTATTGTTTACAATATTTAAACTGTCAGTGATGAAGCTTTTACCGTTCTTTATAATTTTTAACATTGAATTACCTTCTATCGTAGACCTTATCCGTATTTTGCGTGTTTTTTATAATTGTTATCTACTGTTTACTTCAATTTCTAAATATATTGTATAATTTGTCTGATTGTGAGTAACCGGCATGTTTACAACATTTATGCGTACTTGTTACGTTAATGTATATAGCGCCATTGTACTGGGTGTTCTGCGTCATTGATTTTTGGTGGGCGTTTCTCTTGTTTATTAAAATTGCGTTTTGATAGCTCACAGATTATGTTTACAAAATATGTCAAATCTTAGGTAGTTGCTTTTAATCTTATATAATATTTTTTCTATCCTATTTATTTGAACTTTGCGTACTTAAAAGATAATTTCAGAATATGAATGTTAATATTTCTGCAGAATTCTGCTAAATTCTGCCACTGTTATTTATGACATCACACTTTCTGCCAAATTCTGTCGATTTCGGCAGAATTCTTTTAACATAAAAAGAGTATGCTTTTTTTTTTAATTTGAGGTTATGAATTCAGAGAATTAAGATCTGACTTTGTTGACTTCTTGGGGTGAAAAATCAATACAAAATATTGAAAGTTCAGACCATTGATAAAAATTGAGAGTATTAAATGGCATACGACAACAAAAGAGATATTTATGGAGAATACGAAAATTGTGTAAACTAGATCTATAGTTGATAAATGAATATAAAAGATGTAAAAGGTATAATTATTTTTCATATATTTGTTCTTACTGTTTAATATTCTTACATTTTAAAGTTTAAACAAAGACTTATCCTTTTTGTATCCATTCATTTGAAGATTGTATAAACCTAAAAAAGTGTTGCGACTTGTTCGCTACCAAAGTCACAGTTAATGATGATTCACCATGACAATTCGCCACAATACTAGTTTCCTCCACTCTGGCAAGGAACTCATAATGTCTGTACATGCAAGGGGAAAGGTACAGTGCGAACGACCGTAGAAAGGATTTCATGTTTAATGACAACGAAAGTGACCTGCACCGCCCACACAAACATGAGTTGCTCGATCCTTAATAACAGAAAAATAAATTATCAACTTTTATAAGCAAACCGCTGAAGTGTGTTTGTTTGTTTTGGGTTTTACGCCACATCGACACAGTATAGGTCATATCGCGACGTTCCAGCTTTACTGGTGGAGGAAGACCTCAGGTGCCCTTCCGTGCATTATTTCAGGCACGAACGGGTACCTGAGTAGAACCACCGACGTTCCCGTAAGCTAGCTGGATAGCTTCCTCACATGAAAGAATCCAAAGTCCCTGTCGGGATTCGAACCCACAGAGGTGAGGGGCAAGTGGTACCGCTGAAGTAAACACATATTTCATAACAGAATGGTGTATCTTTATAGCACTTACATTTTTGACCAAATATGTAAGTCTCCCGGATATTAAATCAAAGATGTTATATTTTTTATCATTGAAGATTGTTCAGGCCATCATTATTGTTATCAGTACATGTGTTTGGCACTTTTGGTTCTTTCCAGTTTTGTTGATTTTCGTTGGTTCCTGTATTCCTCTCACTTGAATAATGTTTATCACCTTTAGGATAATTATGTTGCCTACTTCTTGACCAGGATTTCAACGAAAACCGGTAAATATAATGCCGAAGGCGGCGGGCTGTCGTCAACTTGTGGTTTCCGCTTTCTTTATTACTGGAGTTTGTTTTGCCCTATTGACACCAAACTTTGTGTGTGCGAGTAGCTTATATCAAAAGACAGCTTGAGAATGCAACCCAGGTTTTTATGATCAAAGTCAAGGTCACTGTTGCTTAAAGTAGAAACTTAGTTTCCGTTAAATAATTAGAGTTTGCTTTGGCCAATTTACACCAAACTTGGTAGCTTATATCAAGAGGCAGTTCGGAATCCAATTAAAATTTCAGTTTTCACGTAATAACTTGAGTTTTGACCTATTAACAACAAACTTGTCGCGTGAGTAGCTAAAATTAAGATGTAGCTTGTGATTGCTACTTATATATCTAGAGCAAGGTGAAGCAAGGTTAAGGTTACTTGTCTACAATATAATTTTCAGCTTTTATGCAATAACTTCAGTACACTTTGACCTATTGATAATTTACTTAGGATGTGTGTAGCTAAAATGAAAATACAAACTGGCATTGCTACTCAAGTTTCTTGTATATTTTCATTTTGAACTGTTGAAACCAGTTTTCTGTATTGGTACAAATAACAGCATCATATCTACTTTACTGCCATATTTCATTCATAAATCTTGTCATATCAATACTTGGTCGTTGAAAACCCGTAGTTTGCCGTTATCACTATCATCCATGAAGAAGCTAAATCATACCAAACAAGCCACATTTTTATTTTTCCCGTGTTAGGCATTCTTAATGAATCCCATTTTTCTCTTTTCTAGATGTAACAAGATTCGACAGTGTTTTGTCAATTAACTGTATCAAATGGTAAATTTTAAAGTGTGAGCCTGGTCACGCCAGTGTTATAACCATGTGATGATAGTATCACAATTCATTGTTTCTGGTTGCAAACAATGTGTTATTTTACATTCACACATACATTTACAATCAAATATAATTAATTAAAGATTCACCAGCACAATTATAAAAAAAACACTTACATTGGTTGAAACTGTATACAAATGTTTAATATCTTTTCAGTTTTTATTGCGTTAATCTTGTGCATAGAAGAACAAAATGCGTATTGCTATTAAAAGTGAAACGCTATTCATCATCAATTGTCTGTAATTGATAAAGACAAAAGAGGTCAGATCCATTTAATCAAATTTCAGTTGCATTTAGTATTGTTTAACGTTACTGTTAGTCATAAGTACAATAATATTCCATGGCTGTTATAACTTCATTAAAACTTTTATTTAATTCATATATAAACTGTTACATGACTTCAATGTTGATAGTAGTACTAAATATTATTTAAGATTGTCAAAAGAATAAAAAAAACTAAAATAAAAATATGTTTTGCTTCAGATAATTTTATAAGAGCTTGACAAGAAAATAGTTAAATGGAACATTTTCATCTTTATAATATTTATTTTTACAAAATGCATGCTATGAAATACAGTTGTTTGGCCATATAATTAAAAAATGTTTAAATATATTTACTATCTACGATAATGCAAAAAGAGGGATTCTATATCAATCAGACAAACTTTAAAATAAAAAAAAACCTTCATACATTTTTATAATTTTGGTAAAACTTTTGGCGCAAAAAAGATGGTATTAGGTTTGTGACCAGCAATCAACGCGAAAGACCAACGAACATTCAATCAATATGCCTTCAGTGTTTACACCCACCTACGGTAAGAATTATAAATAGTATATAGCAATGTAACACCTAACACAAATAATGTAAAAATTGTTCTACCATCGCCGAAACAACAAAGTGTTCAGGATGAAGTTTCATGCTTTTCGTTGCGATTGTTATATCTTTGTTATGTAGTGCAATTACAGAATGATGCATGCCCGTAAAAACCTTTCGTATAACAGATTCATATAATAAACCAATATAGTCAGGTTGTCTGATCACCCATCCATCAATTCCTTCGTCACGATGCATGTGAGGTAATTTGATTAAAATTTGAGTTTGACTCATTCTTTCTAATTTTTCTAAATAATACCGCATAGCAATAACATTTGCTATGAAAAAATTAATACGCTCTATTTGTAAATGTGAATATATGTGAAGGATAACAACACGTTTGCTTGTATTTTTGAAATCCTTAACTTGCTCAGATAGTGGTTTTGAAAAGTAACTACTCATATTTGATACCCCGCCAGCAACAGCTGGTATATTGTGAGGTATATATATAATCCATAAATTGTATTTCAAGCAATATGCTTCGTAACGTGTGTGCCATCGTTCGCCAGATATGCGTTTAAGTGTACAACCTAAAGATAAATTCGAAGATTTCAGGTGCGCTAACCATTGCAAACTTGTTGAATCTCCCCATAGATAGATAATTGTGTTGCGAAGACATTCTCCTATAAATATATTCCTTCCTGTTGTGGAAAAAAGTAGAATGTAATGAATAAGCTCAATCTCTGCGCATTATAAGATATCAATTAAAAGAAATGATAGCAACGCGAAATAAAACTGGCGTGCTTCATAACTTCATGAAAATAAAATTGGACCAATGGCTTTTCTAGAATAAGTTTACCAACATCACCAGTTTCAGAAGCAAATTATAGTTGAATCGAAAAGACTCATAGTCTGTCTTAAAAATTTCGAGATTCTAGATTGTTATATATAATATAGTTTGATCAAAACAATTGGATAAAATATTGAAACGATTGTTACCCCGAGTGGAGCAGGATATTTGATCTTATTTCAATCATCTTACAGTAAATTCTACCAGTTCTAACTGATATTGTAATGGTCGATAGATGTTTTTTTCAAATAACGTTCCGATTTTTATCTTGAAAACGTTAATTTTGTAATCCGAATTATTTATGTCGAAAGTAAATTTTCTTTCTGACCATGTTCCGAGTTACGCATTTACATTTATGATGTTTAAAAAAAATCCGAAACGTTAGTAAAAATTTTAGCTCTTTTAAACTCTGGTTGACTTATTAATCATTTTTAAGGAAATATAAACAGCATATGAAATAATCTTATATGACATCAGTCAGTTATAGATACAGAATGGTAGTGTCATATCTTTATGTTACAGTAAGTCCAGTGTGACTTTTTATGTTGATGATAACTACAAGGATAGATCAATTGCAATTTTTAACTACGATTGTTTAAAACATATTTACATAGAAATAGCAAGATGCCGGACACAACAATCGATATAAAGTTGTACTTATATACAAAATGCTTAATGTAGACATTAAACTTAAATGAATTCCATGTGTGTATGTGTGTATGAATGTGTGTATGTAGGTAGGTGTGTAGGTAGATGTATAGGTAGATCTGTAGGTGGTTAGGTGGGTATGTATGTCAATGTGTAAAGGCTATCACATTTTTTTCATAAGCTTCTAGCGTAAGTGTTTTAAGTTAAATGATGCTAATGTTTACAGGTTACCACATAATACCCATATTTAAATAGATTATTACCTTTACAATGGGTCATTATCCACCTTCCTTGGTAGAAATAACCTGTTGACTGTTTCAGGAACCAAAGCTTGCTCCTATTATAAGCACGACATTGTTGCATTTCATTTTCCTGTAGGCTGTGATTTCTTTTCGAAGTTTCAATTGTAATATTGATTACATCTCCAACTCTATATTGACCCCTGGGGCAATAAAGAATAAAGGTTAAATATCTTATTTTTAATTCTCTGTTGTTATTTATTCTATGATAATATAATGATAGTCTTAATAAATCAATATCTACATTTGTACGGAATTTTCAAAATTGAAGGAAAAACAATTCTCCCATCACACGAAACGTTTCAAGTTCAGTTCATTTAAATAAATTCTGATATAGACACAAATTATTACATATACAATAAGATTCTTAATGTGCAGAAAGAGACACCGGGATTTTAATAATATATGTCAATTCTCAATTAAAACAATATGCGGAACTGGTTAAATTTTCAGGTGACTGTTTGTTATGGCTGAAATTCAGTAAAACATAGTAGGAGTTTGTAAATGATTCATTTGCATTGATTCTTACACTCCAAACGAAAATATTGTTGGAAACCAATTTTTATTTGAAGTTTTCTCTTGATTACATGTTGAATTTTGAAAATATGCACAAAAATCATTTTTGTAACTTGAGGTTATAATACTACAGTACAGATGTAGTGAAGGTAATAAAGAAGGTGAACAACATGCGTAAATTAACAAAGCATCATTAGACTATGTTTTATGTAGAACTGATTAAATGCAATTATTTCAAATTTTGAAAAAATGTCTTATCATTTATGTTGCACTTTAATTTTAATCTTGTGGAATATCTGAAAATGAAGATAAAACTGGAATTATCATTCTAATATTTCTCACTGTTATAAATGGGAAAACAGGAAATATATAAGATTAGTTTTTGTAGTTATAGTGTCTTGAATAAATTTGCTAATTTATGTTAAAATGATTATGCTGCTCCTAAGTAATAATAAGATATATTAGACTTTGAAAATTTTCTGCAACAAGAATTAATATATGAAATGGAACTAGAGCGAAAATATTACAAGCTCTTAATAATCTTGAAATAAAGAACAAAACATCATGGTTTCTTAACTGAACGTTATTATGTTCCTTTCACTGATACTGATATTTCAAATACTAGCAAACAAATCAACTACAGGGTAAAACTTCTTTGTTTAATAAAATGTTTTATATAGGTATTCTCCATCAAGTTGGACACAATGTTTTATTGAACATATATATTCATAAAAAGAGGATGAAGATAATTGTAGGGGTTCTGGACGAGCACAGAAAGCATTGGATAAACCTTTTTAAATTGAAAAGATTTCTTTACATGTCAGTTAAACATAAACTGGATCTGTTAGGTACTTATTTCACCAGTTCTTAACCATTGATTGCAAGTCCGATACTATTTAATAGTCAAGTGTTAGAAAATATACATTTAAAGTACAACAAGAAATTGATAAAAGTAAAAAACAACATACAACAACAATATCTTTGGTGAACAAGGGAGGATAACTTAAAGACAATAAGAGCTGTATACGTTATAAAATACTAGTAAAAAGTTGTTCAGTCAAGAACTACAAAATATTTCAGGTTTGTGTATGACCTTATACTCGTATGTAGAATTTCAATCATTGTCCTTTATCTGTTATGTTTTTTTTACAATTATAAGGTTTCAATGACGTTTAGATTAATCAGGATGTTGAAGATATATATATCAGCAGTAGTAAAACAAAGATGAATAGAAACATTTATACAAAATTTGTATACAAAAAATATGTATTATTTTGTGATTTTGGTTTGCAATCATATCAGTCCATGGTTAATATTCAAAAGTTAAGGAAACCTTTGACACATTGAGGACTTCTTCAAATAAATTAAATAGTAGATGCAGCTGACATATTGCATAAACTTGAAGCAATTCCTTATATTGAAAGTAAATGTCATGTTTTGCTCTTAATTTGAAGGTGAATTTTATGTATTTTTAAAATGTCGCCTGTATAATGATTTAAGAAACAGAACAGCTTCTACGAGGGCTGTTCAATAAAAACGCGGAAAAGTGCTGCCATATTTTTAATATTCATGGGAAATTGACGTTCTCTTTACATTTTGTAAATAAATATATAATAAACATGTACACAAAATTTCAATTAAATCGGATAAAAATTAATAGTACAATTTCAAGTATTTCTAAGGTAATCGCAGTGAAACCGGCCCAACGTCGTAACGACGTCACGCTCAACGCATGTATGAGAGTCACCCAAAACACGCACCTAGTCCTTCTCGAAATACTCTCCGTGAAAGGAAACACACGTTTTACAACGGTTGATCCATGACATGAAACTATTAAAGTAGGAGCCATTATTTATCTCTGAAATTACACCTTGCACCGCTTAGGACAACTCGTCCGCATCATCAAAGTGTTCTCCCCGCAGGACGTTCTTCAGTGTCGGGTACAGAAAGAAATCGCATGGTGCGAGGTCATGGCTGTAGGCCGGGTGCTCGAGGACTTCGAAGCCGAGTTCCTGATTGTGTACTGTGCTTCGGCCGCACGATGAGACGGTGCGTTGTCGTGATGAAATATCGTGTCGGCGATTTTCGTGGCCCGCTTCTTTCTTATCGCCCTCATAAAATCGCGTCTCAGAATCTGAAAGAAATAAAATCATAAGTAAATTGTCGTTATAATTTATTTTCATAATTACTTACACAAATATAGATAATTATTAGGTTATGTATAGACATAATAATGAATATCTTATTATAGATTAAATAAATTTATTCACCTTAGAATAATATTTCGTTGTCACAGTCTGACCCAGGGATACCGCGTGGCTCAGTATCACACCGTCGACGTCAAAGAAGACGATAAACATCTGTTTCCTTGCAGATGGGCCGACTTTAAACTTCTTAGGTGAAGGCGATTCTGGAGTTTTCCACATAGGAGACTGTGATTTCGTTTCAGGTTCGTATAGGCTGATTAATGTCTAATCAACAGTCACTATCCGTCGCAAGAAACGTTCACCTTCCCTGGCATACAGGCGTCTCAAATTGAGTTCATCGTAAATAAAACGATGCACTGTGCCAATGCTACAATCCGATCTTTCGTGTATTTCGCGAATTGTTATCCGACGATCATTGTCAAGCAGCTCCTTTATCACAGCGACGTGATTTGACGTTACGTTGGGACGTCCACTGCGTTTGTCGTCATGGATGCTTTGTTGGCCGCCTAGAAATCGGGCATACCACGTGTATATTGCTGTTTTCTTCATCGCCTGATCACCATATGCTTTTTGTAATCTTAACATTGTTTCTTTCTTTGAAAACCCGTTCAAGACACAAAACCTTATTGAAGATCGTTGTTCCGATGCCATTTTAACGCATACGCACTGAACAATATGGCCGCTTAACGCATAAATGACGTCACACACTAACATGACGTCATGTGCGTAACGCCAACATATTGCGCGTAAAATATGCAAAGTTTGGTGAAAATCGCACGGTAAACGTTAAAATGCGACGTCATTATTGACCAGTGACTATTTGTAAAAATGAACAAAAGTGGGCCGGTAATCGCTATATGTGGTTACCATAACGACCGTTTGTTAACATATTATTCATGTCAGAACGGCAATATTTGCTGTATATTTTCAAAATATGTTTGTCTCTATCCCTGTATAAGTTTTATTCAGCTAACTTGGAAAATAAGGAAATAGCGACACTTTTCCGCGTATTTATTGAACAGCCCTCGTTAATAAATATTAAAATATATCAAATGTACCTACATTTTTTAATAGTTAATATCGCAAATATATGGTATGTTATATAGTATGGTATGTATGTATTTATACTGTGTACTTATCATTACCGTATAAGTACTTATTTCTGCGGGCTAAATATTCTGAGATTTTCTATTTAAATTTCTGCGTATCTTTTTTCAGCGCTGGCATCATTCTCGCATTGATACGTTTTATTTCTGCGTTTTAACTTAAATATTTGTTCAAACTTAAGCGATAAAACAGACATCATTTCAAGATTTGATGATGTGACATTACTTCCACGACTGGTAATGTTTTTCGTCGTAATCAACATGTATCGGTATTTACACGTTAAAAACAAATAAGAAAATAACATATAATGACACATGTTAATACTGTGATTGTATAAAAATGAAATGTCAAAATAAACAATCGCAAAATCGCACGTAGACACAATACATGGTACAAATACATAAAAGGTATGTTTATAGCAGGTTTAAATGAAAATAACAAACAAGGGTCATTCAAATATCACCTGTCAAACTATAATAGTTTTTTTTACTATTCACAAAAAGACCCATCAAGCTTAGCGTGAGCGAAAATCATACAAATATTTTTTTCAACAAAAAGAATAAGTAAAGTTATTTTTTTCTTACATTGTTTTCATGACGGATACATTAAGAAAAAATCCCATCTACAAAAGCGGATAACGACACATGGTCTTGCATTTAGACTATCCCGGTAGTTGAAATATTTCGACATATACAAAAGGAATGGCTGAAGTTTCTTGGGTTTTTGCATCTGTGGTGTTGTTATGAACCGCAGAAATAGTAGAAATAAAGTTTCCGCAGAAAAAAGTACTTATACGGTATATTGCCCACATGATTGCTGTAATAAAATCTAAAAATCCGAATAAACATATGTATTTCTTGTATTAATGCTACCAACGAATTACTAGAGCACACATTATAAAATGCAGTTAAAATGATACAATGATAAATATACATAAACGGTGATACGTTTACTACTAAGGAACATAATGAAACATGTCAAATGTTGGTTATCTAAACAAATACGAAAGAGGAAAGTAAAGAATCAAGAATGTTATTAATAAAGAGAATGTATACAGGCTGTAAATTATTTCACCGAATTATTATATTTTACAAATGTTTTATTATTATATTTTATTATCCCCGAAAAACAAAGTATACGAGGGTTGTTCAAAAAGTAATAGGACTGCAGCTCTACTGTTCACATTTTTAAATTTACATACACAATTTTACATGAGACAAATATCGGAACATGTTCTCAATATACAGTGAAAAAATCAAAACAAAATGTTAAGAAATGAAATTTCTGTGAAATTTTCAAGTGACAAGGGGTACGAAACGCGGCGCAAGCTAACAATACAATAATTGACGTTCATGACGTCGTAAAATAAATCGAAATTGTAATAAGCGTCATTCTTTCTGAAAGTAGTCTCCCTAGTCTCTAGGTGTATGAGTCATGTAACTACTACTTTGCCTCATATGTGGAGATGAAGCAAGAAAAAAAGCGATCACATTCTTGTTCCACTGTTTAAAAAAAAAAATAAATAAATAAATGCCCGATAGCCGGGCATTCTCCGGGTTTTCTCGTGTGTTTTTTGAGTAACCTTGGAACTCAATAGGACTGAAAATGTTAAAGTAAAGGCAATTTATTTTATTAATTTACTCATGTCATTGTGTTTAAAACAATATGATTATATACAGACCAATAAAGATATTTCTCAATTGAAAAGTATCCTTTTCTACTTAGCACAGTCTATCGTTTATTAAAACAAGTTTTTGGGGAAACACTACTAATTATTTCCGTTTACTATAACATTAATTTAATGATTACACGTATATCTAGTTAAATACAATAAAATAGTGTTTATAACAAATGTCTTATTTACAATCCTTGGTTAAAACTGAATAAGTAGACCCGAAGCAGATACAACAACGATAAACAGTCGCGTACCGTTTACCGTGAATTCTTTTGGAGCGCTTTTGCAATTGACGTCACTAACGTCCCGTCAATTTTCAACTTTCATCCTCACCCTTTCTCGTTATCGATCTTGTATTTTCAGTTTTTGAATTGCTTGCGCCAACTGAAAACAAGTGTCCTGATGGCAGGATAATTGTCCTTTGTTTATTTAATCATTTTGTGTGTATCTGAATGATTATAGTCAATCTGTTGGCAAAATTTAACGATGGCACACACTTTCTGTTTGTTAACAAATGTCATATTTCTACATCTAACGCTATGACCGCTGCTGTTCAAAACTTAATAAATAGGTCATTTCAAGTCCGAATGACGTCAAATTTGGACATAATGTCACAATAATATATTTCAACGTATTGATGGAATACAGGGGAAAACAAATAGTTATTTATGAATAAATTAGAAGTAGAACTTAGCTCCAATAACTATATTTATGTGCTGCGCCGGGTGCGTGTTACCATGGTTATTCAATAACAAAGGAAAAGCGCGTTTAGCACAATAGATTAAAAAACTTATGTTTGATTTGTAGAAAACATTTTACGATTGCTGTACATATGAAAATATTCTAAATTGAATGAAATTTGAATACGCAAGACTACCTGTCCTATTACTTTTTGAACAACCCTCGTATATAATGTACAAACAACAGAAAAGAATTATATACACATGCATTACATTGTAATATAAAAGATACAATAACATGAAATTCCTTTACAAAAAATTATTACTTTTGGGTGTGTAGACTAGTTTAGACTATGTCTTTCAATGATTCATCTCAAACATAAACAAGCTACCAAGTCCCGCACCAATAACAGAATTTTAATCGAAAAACGAAAAATTAAGAGAAGTGAAGGTACAGTCTTTGTGCTCATGCTTTATAAATGACTATCAATAGACGGATGTCATTAAACTTATTCCTAAATAAATCAATTATCTAAATTATTGGGAAAAAATAATATAACAAGGAGCATGTAAATAAAAAATAATTATACAATTTATGCCTGAGAAACATACTACATGTACTATAAAGGGAGCAAGTCCAAATAATGAAAGAAGTGTTTGAAGCGCAGTAAATCAAAATAGTACAGCAAGTAAATTTGCTTTGAAAAAAAACGCACCAGATTGTTTAGATCTATATGTTAAAGTTTAAAACAAGATAATATATTCGCATTTCAGCAGTATTTAGGCATTTGACTAGCTATGATAAAAAAATAAAGAAGTGAGATGAATTTTATTTCTTTTTATTTTGTAGCATAACAGACAAATATTAACATCTCTTTTTGTCTTCTAATGATGAAGAATAATTATTTTATTAAGAAAAAGGCACTCACCTTTTAACAAGATGAAGTTCACAGTCATTAAGACCTTCTAAATAGCCAATCCAATTACGTTCGTATTTTGTCAAGTCATTACATGATAAAGTTCTGTTCACAGGTTTCAGACAATACCACGGCATTGTCTTATTCCAATACGAAAAATTACACAAATCTGAATCTTTATTGTCTTTTTTCAATATGTTTGTCCGAATGACATCGAGCAGATTCGGATGTATTAAAGGATTGGTATATGGCATGAATATCCTTGAAATGCTGCAAAGTTAAACCTAAATGTTTCTCAATTAACAAATCATTAAATTGATAAAGCCATCGTATTTAATTCAGGATTCGTACTTAAACATGAAACGAACAGATTGATCTTTACAATTAGTAAAGATATAATGAGAACTCTGGGCTTATATATGATCAGTATAGAATAAAAATGGTAAAAGGATTTTTTATCATCAATACTTTTATTTGCATATTTATTTTGTATAACATATTACCCAATGATGTCTCCTGCGAATCATGGCTGCTAGAATCTCTTTCGGATATAATAACTCTATTTCAATTTTAGCTAACCCTGTCCATAATGCGTTGTGCTTAATTGTATACGATCCATTTTTATGGTCTAGAACATCTCCATTAGCATAAGCTTTAAAATTATCATTAAAAAGTCTTGTCCTGACGTAGTCTCCTCCCTCTGTTTTCATGTTTCCGTACCCATTAAATATGATCAAATTTAAATCGATACTATCGCCGACGGCGATTTTGTAGAAATCTGAAAGCGTGATAATTATGAGCAAAGTGTATCACGTTTTTCATGTACCGATATCTGCTTTTCCCTTTTAATTTAGAATATTTTTGCATACTAAACATTAAAATGAAAATTCAGGAAATTGAAAGCATTTATAAAATTTACACAAGAAGTGCATTCATCAAAGACATTAATTACAGAATAAAGCTATATTTAGACGGTAATGATTTTTCAATAGAGAAACACTATTCCTAAAAGTTGAGCCGGTGAGGTGAAATGTTTAATTGAAATTGATAATATACAACATGTTAATCAAACCTGGAAAAGATCTGTTAAAAAAGATGTTAAAAAGATAGATAAATAAAACACAAAACAGAAACAATAGAATATATCCAAATCAGTTTGATAATTTAAAGTATCACATTTCATCCCATTTATACATTAATCATTAATGCTGAAAGTTTTTTCTATAAAAAAGTTAAAAACAAACTTACAAGGAGTTAAGAAGACCATTCATTAATTTTGTAACCTAAGTATCACTGAAACAGTGTATTAAGATATTTTTGGTGTTGTCAACATCGACTGCTTTGTACGTTCAGTGCATAGACTAAACAGTATGCACTGTGTAATGCAATTTCATTACACGGGATAAACTTTTACAGAACGTGAATTGATAGCGCGAAAAAGGCATAATGTGAAAGAGGTTAAAAATACTTTTTGTTCTAAACAAATCTCTATAAGAAACTGAAGTGACAAGTAGTTACCAATTGCTATGCAAATGACCGGATACTATCAGCACATGATTGTTTCAATTAATTTTGAGCCACAAATGATAAAAAGGCAAATGAGTGATAGAAAATCTGTCACCCCAGAGGTCTTACCAGCAACAGTTTACCGAGTGCACTTTTCAGTGCGGCTTTATTGTTATTTTTGAGTAAATCTTTTAAAATTATTACAAAATTGTTGTTAAAGTCCAACCATAGCATGACATTAATAAACTGTAGAAAGACACTAGAAATGTATAGATATTTATACTACTGAACATTTGCTTAGCACCACAATTCTATTTTTATATTAACACAAGTATAAAACAGATTTCTTTCAATTTTTGAAAATTCTAATTCACAATGTTTTAAGATAGTCCGTTTAAACTCGTCTAGGTAGCATGGAAAACATGCACCCAAATATTTTCATGTGTTTGATGGGGTGTACAATCACATGTCATTTGGTAAACGGCGACATTACCTGCTTAATGACATTCAAACGATTTTCATGGAATGGCACGAAAGTGTCACATTTGAGGTTCCATGATAATGGCCGTATAAATATACATTTGCGGAAGTTTCAAAATTCACCACTACTATATTTGAATGATAAATTCTGCTTAAGCCGTTGCTAGGGGACGTGGACGGAGGTTTACACTTGACAGTATCGTCCATGAACAGGCTCAATCAAACCGAGCCTGCAACAATTTAATTTTTCCGTTTTTGACTTTCTTTAGGGATTCTTATTTTCTCTATTTTTACATTCTTTACATCTGTCAGTACGAAATGGCGAATGCTAACATTAGGCAGAATTTAAGTGAAGCAGACTTATGGAGGGCTGTAGGGATAGTGCAGCAGAGGGCCACCTTCCGTCAGTGTACACCTACCGTCATCACTAGAGCCTGGGAGAGATACCAGCTACATTGTATAAGCACCAGGAGGCATACTGGAGGTTGACAAAGGGTCATTACACCAGCTAATGATCTGTTTTTGGTCGCTCAGACACGACGTACAAGGGTTGTTTTTTTAACAGCAACTTCTCTTTGAAATGACATTGCTAATGCTGCGGGTGTCCATGATTCAACGCAGACGGTACGAAGAAAGCTGCATGAATGTAATATGCGGTCGGGAGGACTTTGCATACGTATTCCTGTGACGCCTCGACATCGCCAGGCCCCTTTGAAATGTACCATGGACCAGACACGGTCGACCATGCAACACTGGAGACAAATTTTGTTCACCGAAGAGTCCAGATACTACGTAGACTTCACAGATAGGTGTGCTTGAGTCTAGAGATGAAAAGGTAGGTTTTAGGCTGAGCATGATAGCTACGTTGGTTGGTTAGTTTTTTTGCGAGAAGGTATCAACTGGAATGGACAAACCGACTTGGTTGTGCTAAAGAGAAACCCATTGACAGGTCAGTGATACATAAACGACATCTTAGAGGAACCAGGTTAGATTGTATGCTAGAGCAGTTGGCGATCAGTTCATTCTAATGAACGATAATACTCGCCCCACAGAGCCAGGGTGGTCCACGACTATCTAGAAAGGGAGTTTATTGGGTGCATGGACTGGCCAGCTCGCTCACCTTACTTAAATTCAATAGAACACATGTGGAATGAGCTGCCGGTTAGAATTTCAGCTCGTCTGCTGCAATCCAGAACCATCCAGGAGCTTGGAGCAGTGTTGGTCTACGAATTGACTGCCATAAACGTTAGAATGATCAGAAACCTAAAAGGGAGTATGGGAAGGCGCTACCAAGCAGTCAATGATAGTCACGGGTCATACACACGGTATTTGGTCTACAACTGTAAACAAAAATCCAATTTAACAGATATTGAATTACGGTGCATGTTGTAGACTCTTCAAAGTGGGGAGTCATCCTCTTTCCTAGAATAAAGTCACTGTAAAACTCATATGTAGGCTAAATTCGTCCTTCAGATGAACTGATAACACAATAAATTAACATTTAAAACCTTTCTTACGGCGGTAATAAGATTATCCAAAAATATATTAACACTCAACATATGGTGCTTAGCAAAAATGAGTAGTATATATAATGTTTAGTGTGCCATCTTGAAAGCGAAGTAATGTTTACCTATGTTATGTTTCTATAGTTTTGGAAACAATATTAACGAGAAACAATAAAAAAGGATAGATAATTATTATCATACAATTTGTAAGTGTTCTTTTAAACTTAATTATTTGATTCTTAGTTAAAATGATGTTTATATACAAGTAATGACGTGCTCTTTACAATTAACTTTTTTTAAATAAAAGTAACCTGATTATTTATATCTGACTTTTTTGTCTTAAATTATTAATTGAATTTGATTGTATTACTAAACAAATGTATTTCTAATTGTCTGTGTTTACTCAAGGATAAACATTTGACATGCCCAATCAAGGAGTAGTTTAGAATCGCGATTTCGTATTACATGTATTAAAGTACTTGCAATGTAAAATAATGTGTTTTTATGTCATAGAATACCGTGAAAAAAGGTTCAGTGTATAACTTTAGTTGTATGGTTTGTAGTTTGTGACATACAACAGACAGTATTTTTATTATGTTAATGTAGGGGCCTTGCTTTGAAATTTGATATATCTTTTTTGTTGATTTTTTGAGAGCGGAATTTTCTGCCTTCCCATTACAAGTACTAATAATGACATGATTTGAACATCGTTTGTTTGTTGGGTTTTCTGTTGTTTCTGTTGTACTATTTCATTATCCACATGTACAGATTCAGTCAAATAGAGTCCTCAATTTATATGTATTTTTGTGTTCAATTTCGTATTACATGTATTAAAATACTTTAATTTCCTATTGGTGTGCAACATCAAAAGAATAACTTTAAAAGAAACCGAACATATCTTCAATGCCGCGACATTACCATTTCTTGCAATGTAAAATAATGTGTTTTTATGTCATAAAATACCGTGAAAAAAGTTTAGTGTATAGCTTTAGTTGTATGGTTTGTAATTTGTGCCATACAACTGACAGGATTTTTATTATGTTAATGTAGGCGCCTTGCTTTGAATTTTGATATATCTGTTGTGTTTTTTTAGAGCGGAATTTTCTGTCTTACCATTACAAGTACTAATAATGACATGATTTGAACATCGTTTGTTTGTTTGGTTTTCTGTTGTTTCTGTTGTATTATTTCATTATCCCACATGTACAGATTCAGTCAAATCGAGTCCTCAATTTATATGTATTTTTGTGATTAATGTGTCCGAGAGATCACACTTTCTCCAGATTTTCATTGTTTTTGGCATTCGGTATTCATATGTCATTTGCCAAATTACTAGTACAGTATGATGTTACTATGAAGCAGAAATAATATTGTTTGTGTACGCTTTATAAGATAACAAAGTATGTTTCGGTGCATCATTTGCGAAATCATTTACCTCTTAAAATTTCCTCAGCCACATATTGATTGTTATGTCATTGTCATATGAGACAAATAGTTTACATGTCTCGGATATTCCGAATATCAAAAAATATAATGCAGTGTATACGTTATTTAAACAAAATATATATCGACGAAACACAAAATGCAAGCGAGTCGTTACTCTTACTAAACAAAACACTTTCCTATAAATATTTTAATAAGGTTTAAAATAGAAATATCTCACCAATCGCACATGCTTATTCATTTCTTTCAGTTTGATATGGAAATACACATAACCGCGTTAATATTGCACAATTCATGTGTTATTTTCACATTCCTACGTTACTGATTATACACAGTGTAAATAGTACGATTATTATGAATACCTTTGTACCAACATATTACGCACAGTCAATCATTTTCTTTTTATGTTACTATTTTCAATGTTTGTTTTCATACCTAGATCATGATTACGTAAAAGAGAGGCAAAAGAATCCATGAAGAGAGCAGAAAACGGCAAAATTGAAGCAGGCAATGTTTGATTGGGTGAATCTTATTGTTCGTTGAAAAGTTGAATTATTTCTACTATATGGCTACAAAAATAACTTGGATTATTTTTCTTTTTAATTATAAATACTAAGCTAAAAAAGCCAGTTAAAACAATGTACATTTAAATCCTGTATATGAATAGATGATTCAGTTTAAAAATAATTTGTTGCCTCTGTTGAATTATCAATATATAAAACGACTTTTAGATTATCTGCAAGTGCAGTTTTCCTACCTATTAAACATTTTTTTTTGTGACTTAACATTTTTCTATATATATGATGTTTTTTAAAACATGCGTAATTCAATGTAGTAAATTGAAATAACAAGGAAAATAATGCATTAATAACACATGCCTTTCATCTCAATTTTTGATTTTAGTGGATCCGCTGCTAGGAAAGGGTCTCGACATTCAGTTTGGAGCAGACACTGCACATTAAATTCTTCATACACTTCCTTTTGAATATTGTCAATTTGTTCAGACCTTCAAAGAAGCCCGAATAAAGTGTAAATGTGACGTAATAATGATAATGATTAATGATAAAATCGAGTTCAAATAAATAAGACATCAATTTATTTCTTAGGTAAAATCTATTTGAAGCTTAACATTTATGAAATAGAATCCTTAAGTAGCCACAGAGGACAAAATGTTTAATTTAGAATTTTTTAATTTAACTGTAGTGATAAGCGAACCTACAGTTTATGCCCTGTAGCCTGATTTTTAATGAGAATTTCTTTTTTAAGAATGAAAATTTTACTTTCCATCTTGTTATAAATTAGAAAAAAATGACACTTTGACACTATAACCGTTTACATCTCTCAGTACTTATTTAAAAAAAAATATATTAAACTTACCAGTCGTTTCGGATATCGGATTTTTCACTGACATCGGTTTTAGGAATTGAGAATTTTCTACAACAAACTATCTCGACAAAAGATATCGTCGTACATATTGTTATGAACGCATACACCATCAAAAAGTGCATTCTTTAAATAGAAAACAAAGAAAAAATGTGAACTTTTCATCGATACACTAATTATTACTTTCCTTCAACAACGTTGATTTTAGATTAATTATCTAAATGCAAAAAACTGCTACCTTTTTAATCGCCGGTTCAACATACTGTCCATTATATCAAATCAGGCAACAAGACTGTAAATCTTTCATTTCTGAAAAAAACGTAATTTTTTCAACATGGTATAACCTTATACTTAAAACCAGTTTATATCAGAATCGAATGTGTAGCAACCGTTCAGTTTTTTTATTTATATGTGAACATACGACAAACAAAGACGTAAATTTTGGAAGTAAAATATTTTCCGTTTTGATCAACCATGCGTATTTTTCATCGAAATATAGAAACCAAATTAAACAGCGAGTATATATATCGGGTTTTAATACAATTTCTCCAGTTGTTACATGCTTCCCATTACTTGTTGCTTCTGTATTTGCCTGACTTATTCATCTAGTGCATAATGCACTATTTTTGCAACTACATGTATATGTAGATGTAGAATATTCAAGGCATTTATTGTGTAAATTTTACTCATAGATTGCACAATGGATTGGATTGGATTTTTTTACAGAAACGATGTTATTCCATTTTTGCCTTATTTTTAAATAACAATTTGCATTAAAAATATTTTTTACACACTTAAGAGAGGATAACAAATTTAATACAAATTGATTTTTCAGAAGGTAATTTGATTTTATAATTTGATACAATAGCCATTTATCAAAATACAGCGTACAAAAATAACATGTATATAATTTTCAAACATTTTGACAAAGTTAAATATTAATGTATTTAAACAGGATGTTCCAATAAACAAGAAGCAAGTCAAATTCAAAGCAGAATGTATGTATTGATTTTGATGTTCTTTTTTTAATTATCAAAAGCTTGAATGTTACATGTGTTATGCAATCTAAACAAAAGTTTGCAAGTTTGTTTAATAATGCAATTGATATTGCATGTAAAGTCAAAAACTATTATTTAATATTATACTATAAGATTGCAATTATTGCTTACAAGTATGCATTTAATAAGTATCTTATAAACCTAAACCCTGATTAACGTTTAAAATATATTTGTTACAAAGACCACGCCGGTATCCATTGACATCATATGCACACAGACACAAGTACAAAAAAACAAAGAAAAAACGTTTTCAGCTTTGTATCACAAAAACACTTGTCGGAGGTCGCCGATAAAACATTTCTTAGCTAGCCATTTATAATTTATTGATAAAAAATGGTTTTGTTATATTTGTAATAAGCGGAAAAGCAGTCATGAAACGATGATAATAATTTCACTAAGATGGTAGTACACAGAAGTAACGAATGTACTAACGCTTAATCATACATTCAATAAAATTGTCTTCTAGGGTAAAAATAAAATCAAAGAGAAATAATTGCACAGCATGTCATGCCTATTTTAATTGCATTATCCACCTGACAGAACGTCTATAGCACTATTCACGTCATTGTCGTTTCTTTTCTATTTATTTTAGTATTGTTAAGCTTTCTTTTTTTGTCTTTTCTTTTTCTTGGCAAGCAAACTTTATAAATCGATTTAAAATAACATGTCAATAAAGCAAAATACAGTACATAAAACGTACAATATTCATTTAATCAATTTATACCCCGAAGTGAATCACAATGGTTTTAGACTAACAAATTCTGATAATGCTATTTAAGCTAAAAAGGTCCATCAATTTTATTGAATTTCAATTTGATATGGACCTTTCGGTTTTTCGTAGCGGAACATTTAGCAACACCTTTTCGATTAATTGCTAGGTCAACTGCTCACAAACAGTATCACAAACATAACCACGTGTTCTTTTGTGCAAACAAGGTCACCACTTACTATATATTATCTCTGTGTAGCATTGGATAACCAGTTAGCCACTTTACATAAAACCGTAAAAACTGAAAATGAATGTCAATTTTCCTGAGAACCAATTCAATTATGAGTATTAATAACTGAACTAGTACATAGACTACGTTGCAATTACTCCTGCACTATGTAATAATTGTAATGATAAATTGTACCGATATTTTTTTTCCATTATTTAGTTCGTACCGAGGTCATATAATTCGCTCATGAGACATTTTCGCGACAAAACTATGTTTTCCCTCAAAATAAGCATGTCTGTTGTTTTAATCAAAAGGTTGCTGTAAATTTTACGTATGTTTTGCTTTCCCCCAGTTAATACCTATTTCACAAGAGACACAAAAAGAAAAATAATTTGAAATATATATTTTTTATCATTTGCCAAAATTATTAATCAAAACTGGATCTTAAGATTCATATCGGACTGTGCATTTTATCCTTGTTTTTTTGTGCGCATTATATTCTTATCATAATCAACTTTCTGACCAAGAGAAATGTTCAGTTTTTCCATATTACAACATATAATCGTACAATTGTGAAATATGTAGATTTTTAAAGTAAAGTCAAATGAACATCAAATATATAGACAATCAACCAATTGACATTTCTTTAAAGTACCGAGGGAGTTATAACAAAGAGTTGATTTGTATATTATAGGAAAAAAAAAGATGTCTTTTTTTGAATGCTTGAGTCTTGTGACCAAACGCAACGATGTTCTTTTAAAGATAGTAATATGTCTTATCAACCATCCTCTTTCTAGCTATTATGTTTTTATGATTTCAATAATTGTGTCATATGTGATCATTGTTTTAACTTCATTGATTTCAAGTTCAGGTTATATGTCCTTGTTTAAGCCCTTTCCCGTAGCTATCAAATTTGTCATTAAGCAGTCGTTATTATTATTGGACATCATGGCAAATCTGCTAATTCTCAAAGTAACTATGTTATATAACTTTTACAACCCTAATACAACTATTTTCTCCAAATTGTATTTGTAACAAACAAATACCTATTTACTTATATAGATAACAACTTTAGAGATATTTCAATCCAATGAAAAAAGACATGTCACATTATGCGATTTTTTACTGCATGCCTTTTTATGGTTGAATAAACGAGAATCTGCAAAATAAACAGTGCTCAGAAATATTCAAATTGGCGAACACTTTTTTAAATCTGTTTTTACTTTATAATTATTATCTTTGTAACAAGAAAAGACTAACTCGAGACATAGAAACTAAGTAAACATAATGACTTTAAAATACAGTTGTCAGCATATTCAAATTCAATTATAAATATTTGATCATGAAAACAAACATTATATTTATAGAGTTTCTCGAAATATGATTTGAATTTACTTACATATTATGAATGAACGTATTAAGTTAAGGTAATGGTGATATTATATGTTTGAACCACAACCACTGACAGAATCACTATTTAGATCTGAAAATAATAAAGATTTTGCAATTTTACAGAATAAATGTTCAATCAACGAAGTGAATACATTTATGTGAACAACTTAATTATACTTACATTTGGTATACCCAACATTACAAAATATCACTTTACATCAACATAAATGTATCTTTAAAATAAAAATTAACCGATTTCATGGAATTATCTGATACATCACTTGTTTCCTAAGTGTCACTTTGCTCTATTTAGGTCGTAAGTATGTGTACCGTTTGTCATCTCATTGAACAGTAAACCATAGTTTAACTTAATTCTATATTTTAGAGCCAAATCGATTCAAAATAACAATTGGAATAATGTGTCAACATATTGCATTTTTCGTTTGCAAGACGTAGCATGTCTTAACTGTGATGTTACGAGAAATAAGATCACTTTGTTTCCAGATTTTGTAAAAAATACTATGCCACCGCATTAATACAACACTACATAGTAGTGTAGAAACAGAAGAACAGCCATAATTTGAACAAGAGGGACAAGCGCTCACCTAAAGATATACAGTTATTGGTGTGAAAGCAGTGAAAGCTAGTGTTTATTACAAAAACGATGTCGGTCACTAGACTTCATGCAGAATGTATTTCTTAATCATACTATATGCATTGTCCTAATTTCATAGTTGTACATCATACAGAAAATAGGTCACTACATCCATATCTAGGTCATTTTGTTACTGACTTTCAAGGTGTCAACATCCCATTGCTGTATATAACAAGTCAAAGTAGGTCACTTCATCATAATATAGGTTAGCTGATTCCAAAGTTCAATTAAACATCTAAAACTGTGCACATGATCCAAATTTCATGCTTGTACATCATAACAAAAAAGTAGGTCTCTACATAGGTCCACCAAATAAAGGTTTTTTATATCGAATATCTAAGCTCGAGCTTTCTCCTATTCAGAAACCATTTTTAGTTTCTGTTTTTACTATAAGTTAATAATGAAAATTGATGACCCCCGGAGCGGGGCAAATTTTGACTTCTGACTTATATTTAAACAATGTTGGTAGAGGTCCACAATACAATGTTCTAATGCAAATATATAACCTCTAGCCTTCGTCAATACAGAGAAGAAGATGTTTAAAATTTTTACTAAATACATATAAGGAAAACCTATGATTCTATCCGGAGCGAGGCCACTTTTGACACTAGATGCTACCAAACAATGCCTTATGTAAAATATCTTTGCTCTAGGTCTTGTAGGTGTTTACAAGAAGATGCTTTTTCTTATAATTTATTTTTGTTCCAGATCTCGGCACTGAATCAAATTCTTTGAACAAACCTGGAAGCCCTTCACCCAAGGCACAATCTTGCCAAGTTTTGTTGAAATTGGGCAGATGGTTTGGAACAAGAGATTTATAAATTTACAATATAATCTATATCACACACACACACACACACACACACACACGCACACACACACACACACACACGCGCGCACGCACGCACGCACCAACGCACACACGCATACACATATATAATCAAAAAGAAATTTATTAATATTACTGATTTTTTTAGTCTGGTCTGGGATGTTGAAATAATAATATTGTCATTTGATTTGTTTAAAAAAGCAACAGCCTTTTAAAAACTACCATGTATTTCGCTGCGTAGTTTGCTGTTTTATGTAGAATAGAATAGCATGTACTTTGTATTTTCAATTTCATTAGTATTACACGGTGCGCATATTCTATCACTCTATGCCTCCCCGTTTCAATTCGTAACAGAAGTATACACATTAAAAGTAACACAATAGTTAATTGAAACATAATAACTTAACATTCATATTAAAGACCTAGTTGATTTCAAGACAATTAATAAACAAAGAATAACAAATGGAAGTTAAATATTGAATAGAGAACTTATTTCCAATGGGGTCCTTTGATGGAAACAAATACATGTTCTTGGAATCTGGCATTACAGTCCACGTTTAAATATGATATTAGCTCAAATAATATAAATTGCTATCAGAGATTATGTTATGATAACTCAATTATATTTAACATGCATATTTATGAAAATAATTAACTTAAAGGTTAGTAAAATAAAATCACAGCTTGTTCAAATTATTTCATGTTTTCACTGAGTTTAGCTTTCATTTTTTTTAATTATTATAAGTTACTTTCCCTTTAGATATTAAGTGGGAGCATGTTCCAATCCCTAATACCTTGGTCAACATGTTAAATGGCGAAAC